GAAGGCTAAGGCGAGTCTCCGAGTAAACTGTAAAATTGCAAGGACAAGCTGCACGTGGCAAAACCATGTTTTTTCTTTGGAGGCATATAAACAGATAACGGTAGGCAGCTGTAATGAATAGTAGACTGAAGTAAGCTCACTGCTATCCACCACACCTGGGAGGGGCATGAAGGCGCATTCCAAGAACAGTTCCACGTTTTGTGGAAACCGAGGTCACAAGTTTCTTGTCTTGTTTTCTTGGAGTTTTCTCACAAGTACTCAGAATCCTCCTCATGTGACCCCATTCTTGGACTGTGTTCTGACACTTGAGTACTTGGTGTTCCAAACGCGGTGTGACAGAATGTAAACTGGTAACCTTGGTCTCGTCTCTTCCTCCATAGTAGTTAACGGATAGATCGCTCCTCACTTGCCAGCATCTCTCACACCGTGTGGCCAAGTGACTGCCCGTGTAAGCAGAGGCAGATCATACCTGTCCTAGTCCTGACCCTGAGTACTTCCCACCATGAACTTCTTGCCATCTTTTCACCCTCTCCTTGATGGATTGTGGCAGTCACCATTACACTGGGTCTATGAATTGCTGCATGAAGCACGATTATTTGAGCCCACATCCAACCCTAGTCCTAGAATATTTTTCCTGGATCCGTAGAAAATAAAGAAATGAACTCTCTTCTGTCATAGTTGGACTGATTATTGTATTTGAGAAATTGAGACTTACTAACAAAATAGAGAAGTGATTAACTGAAAGGGGCCCTTACCACTGAGAAAGGATATGATTTTTTAATGAAGGTAAATTAACTCTGTCAGCTGGACTAGTTACTGTATTCTCCTGACTGTGCACCTGTAGTTCCAACTTCACGTCAAACACCAAGACCTATAGAAATATATAAGGAGTGAGTTAGTTGCTCTTGAGCCCATTTAAACATTGATGGAACTGATCCCTGGGACTTGGTCCCAGCGTTTTATCTAAAGAAAGTTCCTGAATTCCCACCTTGTACCCCCGTGACTTTGTGCTAATTTTCCAAGGACTAACATACTTGTTCCTGATCCAAGCTGCTCTCCTGGCTTGATTCGCTCATCTCTGAAGAGTGGACTGCAGCAGTGTGCGTGCTACTTGAACCTCTGAGTATCACCTGTGTCCTGGCTGAGATCCAGAGCTTGCTCTTATACTTGGCTGGGGACTATGCCAATTGAGCCATATGCTCCATCTTCCCCAGCTCCCCTATTCTGGTTTTCCATTCTCTTGACTGCTTCTCAGACCCTTTATGAAGCTGCTTCTGTATCCTGCCAACTTTCAACCCCTTCCAAGTAATGTCTATATTTGTCCTTTTGTCCAACAACTAACTGCTTTCCCTATGTCTGAGCACCCAATAGTTGTTCAAATTTTAAAATCTCAATTTTCCTTCTTTAGAATTTCCTGATATATAAACATTGTCCAATTGTTCTTGTTGCCTTTGAATTTTATAAATTCCTTTTGAAAAGTATTACATAAGGAAAAATTTTTGCAGTAGGGAAAAATTGATTTACATAATCAACTGTAGTTTTATATACCTAATAACACTGTATTTAACATTTTTTACATATATAGAAACCACTTTTAAAAATATAAATATGTAGCCGGGCGGTGGTGGCGCACACCTTTAATCCCAGCACTCGGGAGGCAGAGGCAGGCGGATCTCTGTGAGTTCGAGACCAGCCTGGTCTACAGAGNCTCTGGGGCGGGGAGAGACAGAAGGGTCTCCTGAGCTCAATAGCCAGCTAGTCTAGCCTAGCTGTGAAGGCTGGATTCAGAAAGAAACTGTGACTCAAAAACATCAAGTGGAAGGCCAGCTAGGTGGCTCAGTGGGTAAAGGTGCTTGCTGCCTCACCTGAGGTTCGTCCCTGGACCTACATAAGGGTAAGAGAGAGCCACTCCACAAAACTTGTCTTCTGACCTCATGTGCATGCACACTCACACACACAAACACACCTACACACTCACACACACACGTTCACTATAAAATAAAATCTAAATATGCAGATTTATGTTTTAATCTGTTAGAAAAATGTCTAAAGAATTGTTTCCAACTTGAATACTTAAACCAGATTTGTGTTAGTATATTTCTGCTTATGAGACTTTAAAAACTAGAATCTTACCTCTATTAAAATAATTAAGATGAAAAATCCCAGAAGTCTTTTTATTGAAACAGTTAACCCTGCCATTACCATTATTACTTTTTTTGTTTGTTTGTTTGTTGTTGTTGTTGTTTCAAGATAGAGTTTCTCTGTAGCTTGGGAGCCTGTCCTGGAACTAGCTCTTATAGACCAGGCTGACCTCAAACTCACAGAGATCTGCCTGCTTCTGACTTCTGAGTGCTGGGATTAAAGGCGTGCACCACCACGGTTTAGCTACCATTATTACTTTTGAAGACTGATAATCTGTAGCTCTCAGGAAGCTGTTCAAAGCCATCTATGATTAGTGTGGATCAGTGAAGTAGCTGCCAGCACAGCTCATCTTGCAGCTAGAAGTAGTTGAACAACTGAATGTAGCAAGATAATGGGGTTCAACCTGAAGACCACAAATAGCAAAGCACACAGCCACTGGCTCTTACCTTGACCTCAGTCTGAAAATTGTGATTCTGCCTTCAGGAATCTCAGAATAAGACTGTGATTGAGAACTATCTTCTTCCGTTTTATAATCCTCTCTAGTTCTGGGATTAAAGGCATGCACCACTACTGCCTGGTTTCTGTGACAAGCTAATACAGCTACTGGGATTAAAGGTGCATGTTTGTGGCTACTGGGATTAAAGGTGCATGTCATTGTGGCCATTGGGATTAAAGATGCGTGTTGTGGCTACTGCGATTAAAGGTGCATGTCATTGTGGCTACTGGGATTAAAGGTGCATGTCATTGTGGCTACTGGGATTAAAGGTGCATGTCATTGTGGCTACTGGGATTAAAGGTGTGTATGTCATCACTACCTGTAAGACTGGCCAATGTGGCTGTTTTACTTTTCTGATGATCTTCAGGCAAGCTTTATTTATTAAAATACAAATGAAATGTCACTACAGCTGAATGTCAGAAGTGTGCCCAGTGAGGTCCCAAGAGGAAGACAGGGATGTGTCAAAACACCTTTGACTCTAGAAAGCAGTGGCCTTGGGTGGCCTGCTTATTGCCCAGCCCTCTGTATTCTCGAATATAGACAGGTACTCTTCTTACAGGAATGTTACAGCACACCTTTAACCTAGCCCCTATGTGACTCACAGAAACTGATGTCACCCCATGCCTGCAGCTGGACCCATGTCATGCAGAGAGACCAGGAAACTGAAGCAGCTTGATGAGCTGTGTCCCATCTGGTAGTGAATGCCCTCGTCCTCTGCAGTCAAAATACTGAGATGCCCAAGACACTCTGTGTTGATTGTAGTGTGAGCTGTGGGTCAGAGTTTTGACAGGCTCCTGCCTCCCTCTCTGGTGTTGGGGTAAGACCCAGAGCAAGAAGCAGCTTTTCTTAAAGGGGCCAGTCCCTGTTTCCTAGATGAGCCCCTGTTCCTCTGACCCTTCTTCAATGGCATTCTTAGCTTTGGGTTTGGTGGAAGCTGGGTGATTGGCTAAGAATACAACCCCAGGGTTTTACGTAGTAGTCATAAGGATGTGAGCCATCAGGCTGAGTCTCAGCTAACCAACCCAGGACATCTACAAGAAGAGTATGTGCTGAATCACTATGTGCTCTTAACCACTGAGCCAGCTCTCTGGAGCCCCTACCAGGCCTTCGTATTAGCCACCACTTGCAATGCGTTTTTTCTTCTATTTATTTTCATTTGACTGACTCTCTGTCTCCATGTTTGTCTCCTTTTTCCTTCTAACTAGTGCTGTGTTCTTTCATATGGATTCCTTCAGGACAGATATCATATGCTCCATTTCTTATATACCTATTTAAAAAGTAGGGAAGGGGGCTGTCAAGACCTAGTAACACGTGCACAGTCCTTGGTGTGACTGGGGGACTGGGGTATGAAACTTTTTAGTAAAGACTTGACTGCTTTCATGTTTTCAGAAAACAGACTTGAAAATAATAGAAAAGGTTAATCTGGGTTTTCATTTAATAGAGTATAGTTTGAATTTTAAAATGTAGTCTTCTTGTAGAAAACTCTTTTAGGTTCTTTTCATAAATTGTCCTAGTGTATTAGGTACCTAGATGATTTTAATAGTTTGTACATAGTTTTTGTTATAATTTCACAGACAAAAGTAGAGACAGGTAATCTCATTCTAAATAAGATTTATGTCTAATATAAATCGCTTTTAACATGTAAAAATTAATTTATAATCATGTAAATAAAATTTTTGAAGGCAGCATACTAGTATCTAAGGGACTATTTGACAAGTCAATTCTAGGACTTTATCCCAAAGTAATATTTGTAGATACTGTTAAATATTTTCAAGCCTGATGTGTCTGTCTACAAAGAAGGGCCTTAAGGGAAGCAGAGGACTTTCCAAATAACGATGTATATGCACTTGCTAATCCTATTCAAAATTCAGAATACCGTTGGTGCTAACTGTACTTTGTTCTAGATTATGATTTCAGCTCCAAACCTAAAAGCATCACCATCCTAAGGCTTCTGTAGTGATATCACAAGCCATAAGCAACAACCCTCAAGGCATTGGTTTATCCCTAGAAAAGACAGACAAGCTCATGGAATGCGTACTAAACAGTTGCAAAAGGCTGGTGTCCCAATGCCAGTGGGTCCGTAATATTCCCTCCGACTAAACCCTAAGAACCCTTCTGAGGGATGACTGTTTAAAATACTCAGTCCCTTAATAACATGGTGGCAGGAACTTTCAATCATTGATTCATTTTATTACTGTAAAAAAAAATCCTTATGAAGAGACTGAGATTTTATAAAGGGATTGCGGTTTTCACTCTTTCACATTTACTTGAGTAATTCTCTTTTAATAGTTTAAAAATATCAGTCTTCTTAAAAGTGGTGGTGCTCCACCCAGGTAATATTTTCCTACTTTCTTAACCGCAGGTTGCTACTGGCAGAGCTGTTACTGAGGATTTGGACCTCTATGCGACATCTCGAGAGAGGCGGTTTCGATTATTTGCATCTATAGAATGTGAAGGACAGTTATTCATGACTCCATATGATTTTATTCTGGCTGTTACAACAGATGAGCCCAAATGTAAGTAGTTTTTAAATTACCTTCATAATTTTACCTTTATAACAATTTTGGTATATTAATAATATGATAATTTTCAAACACTTTCAAAGATGGTGAAAAAGCAATAGAGACTAAGCAATTCTGGTCAGGTTAAATAGATGACAGTAAAAATGAACTTTGAAGAGAAAAATCTATTTTGTGAAAATATGAAACAGTACACATATTTTAGACTATATCACAAAAGCAATGCGACAACTCAGAATTCATTGTTATGCAATGATTGCAGACTGGTATTTCTTTAAAAACTTTATTATTTCTAAAATTTCAGAATTTTAAATCACTCCCTTACATATTGCACTTAAACACTACCTTACTTTAGATATTCTTATAAGAGATTAATGTTCTACCTACTATTTCTTGTATCCAAAATAAATAAAATAATTGAGAGCTGGCATTGAGGTTATCCTTGCTTAAGAATTCTGCTTTTATGTCTTCTGCATTTGTCCTACCTCCTGAAGTATAAAGATGGGTTAATTCTTCCCCACTTTTCCATATGCTAAAGGACTGCTTTTCAAACATTTGCTCATTTTCTGGAGATGCTTTGTAACTGATTTTAAAAATGTAGCAAGATTTTTACATACCCTTTTGTATCCAGCCTATTCTATTATGTTCTTCTCAGTGAAGTGTGCAAAGAAAATCCCCCTCACAGATACAGGTGGTCGGGGAAGGGCAGGCGACTTTGTTCTTTTTACACTGTTACAACCTGCTAGTGGTGGTGCAGGCTTTCAAAATCTCCAAAGATGGTATTGCAACATACTCCAGTATGAAGGGGTTTGGGCTAGGTTAACTGGATGGCTGAGTTGTAAGAATGAGGTTGAGGAGGGGAAAAAAAGATTAAGCTTTTCACTGATGTATTTGAGATGCATCAGATAAGTAAAAGTTGAATTTGTCTAGTTTTAGCTCACTGAAAGATAATAACTAAAATTAATACTCCAAATAAATTGAATAATATTTGCTTCAATTTCTTATAAAAAATATGATAATTGAACAACCATGGCCTCTTCTTCCAAAGCAAAACCAAAAATTAAACTTTTTTCAATAATTTATCAAACTTGTGCAGACTAGCTTTTAATTCTTTCTTCCCTCTCAGTGCTGGACATTGGATCCAGGGCTTTGTATCTGCTGGGAAAGTGCTTTTTTGTTGAGTTTCATCACAGCCCTCAATGAATTGACTTTTGATGTTTTAAATACTCGGCAGTGGAGATCAGGAAGAGATAGGGATCTGTCTGTACATCATTACTAGTTAATGTTACATATAATGAAATTGTCCAGAGAAACACTATACTATTTTACATAACTGGGAGCCAAACCTTGAGGAACTCTTACACTTGAAAAGATGAATGTGCAAATGCTAGAGAATGTAGGCCTCAAGAGCACTGTCCAGAGACACAGGAAAACAAACAAAAACAAAAACTAGAGTGGTACAGACAGAGAGTCCAAAGGAAATGGTTGGGGTGGTCCAGGGAGCAGAACACTGCTGAGAAGTCAAGTTAGATTAGCGCAGAGTATTTTCCAGGTTTATTAATATGAAGGCTGCTGATGATTTTAAAACAGACATTTCGTGGAATTGACTAGGACCGAAACTAGACTGCATAGTGGAATAATAGATGAAGAAATGAAGGCAGTGACTGACAGGTACCTGTTGGAGATGCTTGGCTCTGACAGGGAAAGGAAATGCAGCTGGATTGAAATTTAAGTTAGAGACTTGATGATGCAAGATTTTAGCCCCCAAAAAAATTTAAAAGTAGGAGTTGTTTTTTTACTAGCAGGAAAGTCTTGAGAATAAACAAACCAAGAGAGTAGTAGTATGTTTACAGTCGCCACCTGTAAATGTGTAGGGCAGAAAAAGGCTGAAAATTAAGTAGGGTTCTTTAATAAGTAATTAGAAGACTAAGATAAGATTTATAGCCCTTTGACTTAATTGACATGGTATAATGTGGTTTATTTATTCTCCGTTTTTGAGCACACCATACTAATTTTATTAATATGAAAATAATAATAACCTCATGAAGAATTTTTTGAGACTAAATTGGGGGGGGGGGCTAGTAGCCTAGAACCAGTTTTGGATCTGTCATCATCACTGTTACTTGAATTCATAATCAAGATTTTGAACATCTTTATAATCACATTAAATAGGAAACTGCATTTAAGTATTTACTTAGTAATTGTAGCTCAAATAAACATTAATTGTAAAATATACCACATTGTTGTTTGTATTGTTTAATTTTTCTTATTTTTCTCTTTAGAATAGAGTCTGAAAGGTAAATTCCCCTTTTAGGATTAAAATATGTAATTATTTTCCTATAGCATCAAGAATCAATTTAATTTGTAGATTTAATGCCTCCCTCCACCTGTTATATTTATACACTCAATGATTTCCTATGAAATAAGGAATTTAGAAAGTCAGAACACCCTTTGAAGACTTATCTTACTGGTTCTTTAGTCTTTATTTCTTTAACAGCTAATGATATCGAACATGGTACATTTTCTGCAGAATAAATATGTCTTTTGTAAATAATCTATTGTGGAAATCTCATAAAACACAAACTCAGGAGTAAATCTAATTTCCTCATTGGATAAATAGTTTCTGAGCATTACATAAAAACATGTCCATGTATTTGTACTTTTAATGGATTTTTCTTAAACTCTTACCAAGCTATTTCATTGTTCTATTTACTAAAAAGAGTCATTGCAGAATTATGTGCACAGTAGCATAGGTAAGGCTACATGCAAATTCCTGTGATTTTAGGGCTTGATCACCTATTGACATATACTGCTAGGTAAAAGAAAGATTTTGTTGTGAAATAAAGAATTGATCTCCAAGAAAAATTAGTTTCCAAATTTTATAAAAATATATCTTCACCTTTGATCTCAAGATGAGTTAGTGTATTGCCTTAAAAAGAGAGTTATATAGCAATGTGTCTTCCATAAAACTTTAAATTTGATATATTTTTAATTAGACAGACTTGCTTTGTAGACACAATTAGTCTACCAGTTTTCCTAATGCAGGTACACTGTAGGAATTAATTACCATCAACCTGGAGATAATTCTTAGCCATTTGCAATGGTAGGAACTGAACAAGAAAAACAACTATTTGGACTGTTCATCTGTACCTGCATTTTACTGTTTAAATTGAGATCATTGACATGATAAAGAAAATGTTTTATTCAGCTAGTACACTTCTGCCTCTAAGATACTTGTAGAACAACTGCAGAAGGAAGATGGATAAGAACTTTCCAAGCTCTTCTTCTTTTTGCCACTATCATTTCTACCTTGGAGAGACCTTACCAAGGAATTATTTCCAGAAATACTCATTCATCTGATTACAGTATGAATATTTTATAAGTATCTTCGTTTGTCCTTCAAGTGCCATAAAATATTTAACATTAAGTAGCTTAACTTGTGTTATGGATCCAGAAAGGCCCAATCATAATCCAATTATGGGGGGAAAAGTTCTGTGACACTGATTTTACTTACTGTAAGGTACAGTCTTTAAAGCTAGTAGATAACATGAAAGGATCATATATTGGATTCAAATATTGAGGGTAAAATCGTCTGCCTTTTGAACATAAAAGCTTGATTTTGAGTTATGGTTATATATGGTTACTAAATATGGATATACATTACATAGAATATTATCTAATTATTTTATATTTATTTTAGTTGCTAAAACGTGGAAGTCACTTTCTAAACAGGTAAGTTAAAGATCTTGGTATACAAAATATGCATGTACACACACAATACACACACGTGTAAACACATATGCACATTATCTGATTAGATAGTTATGTTTTTGTGTGTGGTTTTTACAAATTAAAATCACATAATGATAGTATTTTTTTAGTCTTCATAATGTAAGTAAATGAAGAAGGTTGTCATTTCTATGTGCTAGTGAAGATAGAGGCTAATTGTCATGTGTGAGTGTAAATTAGTGTTCCTTGTTTAGAAACAGTTGCATTATCTACTGAATTGAAGATATATATAGACTTTTACTCAACAAGTCCATACCTGAGGTTAAAGTCTATAGCAGTACATTCACATGTACCTAGCAAACTTAAACTTAATCAACTTTATGACTAGGTTATTTCACATTGGTGTTCATACCTAGAGAAACTATCAGTTACATACAGAAGAGGTTCAGAAGTCTGTAGACTGCTTATCATGGTTTTAAAAAACAAGCACATGAGTAATAGGCCTAATAAATTTTCGAAAAATATAACTCCATTAAGGCAGAAATCAAAGGGGAAACAACACTGTAGTTATGTAAGGATACATCCACAGTTGCCAAAAGAAAGGGGAACATTAACATATTCAGATAGTAGGACTGACATCAGGGAGAGCCTCAAAGTGACTTCTAACATACTGATGATTTCCTGCTCTTAACTGAGCTATTTTTAACTTCCTTAACTAGAAAAAGGAAATTCTGCAGAGCTTATAATGGCAGATGCATGTTTCCCTGTGAAACTTCAGAAACTTCTCTTTACAGTTAGCTGTAAGATACAGGGACTGCTGTCATAGCTGGACGGCTAGCAAAGTGACGTTCCTCATTAGCTGAGGATTCTAGACTGCCCTGATAAAGTACACATCCTAGTGGCTGCAACTGCGTTTATCACCTTACAGGTCTGCAAAGTAGACACTTAAGATCAGAGTATTTGGGTGGTTTACTCTGGGGCTTTTATCCTTTCTATGGCCATCTTCTCACTCTGTTTTCACTTGGTCTTTCCTCTGATAAATTAGGGGATTTCATATGATAACATTAGTGATACTTTTAAAGGACCTGTCTACAAAATAGCCAGGTTCTCAGGTGCTGCCTTATGGCCATAATATTTAGTATATCAAGGAGAAAGAGGAGGGGAAGATGAGGGCGGGGGGAAGGGTGGAGTGGAGAAGAGGAATTGTAAGAACTACAATAGTGGCAATTAACACAATTTTAAAAATCATATCCAATAAAAGTATTGTAAGTTATTACTCTATATAAAAATAAATGAATCTAAATTAATAACATGGTGAAATTTAATTTTAAATTAATAATAGTGATTATAAAACCGCATTAAGATACATTTCACAATAGTAACAAAATCTGTCAGGTACTTAAAACTGTACCATCTTAGTTACTTTTCTATTTCTGTGACAAAACACAATGACCAAGGCAACATAGGATAGAAATTATTTCAGTTGAGAGCCCTCATTTTGATCTGAAAGTAGGAAGCAGAAAGCTAGCTCAAAATAGAACAAGCCTTTGGAAACCTCAAATCTCACCCCCAGTGACATACTTCCTCCAACAAAGCCATACCTTCTAATGCTCCCCAAACAGCTATCAACTAGAAATCAAATATTCAAATATATTATGCTCTTGGGCCTATTCTCATTCAGACTGCCACATTCCACTGCGTGGCCCGCATGACCTCTAGTGGCCATATCATAATGTAAAATCAATTTAGTCCAACACCAGAAGTCCTCATAGTCTTTCAATCTCAAACCAGTTTCTAGTCCAACGTCTAAACATCTCTTCTGAGGCTCAAGGCAATCTCTTAAATCAAAAGCAAATTATGTACTTCCACCATACAGTGGCACAGTATATAAATTGCCATTCCGTAAAGGAGGTATTGTGGCACAGTAAGGGAATACCGTACCAAAGCAAGACTAAAACCCAGAGGAGCAGACTCCAAAACCTGTGGTTTTGTTTCTGGTGTAGAGGGCTGAAATGGCTCTGTCCCATCTTTGATGCCTGCAACATACTTTTCTCTTGGGATGATTCTGCTCCCTGTTGGCATCTCTCCTTGGAAGATATCCCATGTCTCCAGCACCTCTAACATCTTGGAGTTTCCAGCACAATCCAGGCTTCTCTTTTATAGCTTCACACAAAATGGCCTTTCCGGACCTTCATGCAGGGACTGCCCTGTCATGCGGTGCCTGGTCACAGTCATGCTCCTTTTTCTTGGAAGAAGATTGCATAACCCTTTTATGGTAGATGCTAGTAACTTTACTCTTCATTAAAATGTATATCATATATTTAGAAGGATGAATGCATCATAATATATGATATAATATATATAATATAGATATATTTACTATAAAGTCATCTCAAATTTGTAAAAAGTAGATATTTTTGTACTTTTTGACAGCATAGATACTTACCAAAAGTTTTCATCTTTTACCAATGATTCGCTCACAAATATGATTATTTGTTGAAATAAGAGCGGCGGCGGGGCTGCGTCCCCAACACCCCGGCCGCTTGGCTAGCTCATGCCCGAAATAACAACACACAAACTATATTCATTTAAGAACTGCTTGGCCCATGAACTCTAGCCCTTACAGGCTAATTCTCGCACCTGGACTAGCCCATTTCTAATGATGTGTGTAAGCACCCCAAGGTGCGCTTACCGGGAAGATTTTAGCCTAAGTCCATCGTGGGTTGCAGCTGCCTGGGAGAGCAGAGCATGGCAGCTGTCCGGTCCCTCTGGAAGCAGAGCAGAGTCTGACCTCACTTCCTCTTCCGCCCAGCATCCTATTCTGTTTATTCCGCCACCTATCTTTTAACCTATCAGGGCCAGCAGTCTCTTTATTGCTCAGCCAATGAAATCAACAGATTGATATGACACTCCCACATCAATTATTATGTCCAAATAACCTATTGTGTATCAAATACTGTCATGACTGTCTAAGTAAATTGATAGTCTAGTGAACAGTTGGCTATAAATTATTATAAACAAATTTGAGGGTTGTGCATATATTGGCTGCCTTATTCTTCCACCTGTAAACATTAACATATCAATGGATTGTTAGTATCCAAAGAGATAATGTTCCTGCTCGGAGGTAAAGGAGATAATAAGTTCCAGGGAACTGGAAAATAACATTAGAGATGCCTTTAGTTATATTTTACCCTCATAAATTCTCAGAGCTTCACCTCACTCCCCATAAACATAACTTTGATCCAGAACTGACAATTTCTTGAAATCTGGAACATTATAAAGTATAATCAGATGCTTCCATGAACAGGAGAAGAAAAACTTATAGTTCAGGCAGTTGAGCCTCTCAATCCTACTACCAAATGCTAGTTGTGCAGTCAGCACCTAGAGAAGCTTTCCATATAATTCAGAGCTTGTCAGAGCAGTGCCTTCGCTATTGCCTTTAAAATGTGATAAAAATGATAACTTCTACCCACCCGAGTCTAAAGTCCTACCACCTTAGAATTAAAAAAAAAAAGTAACTTCCCCCCAGATGGAGCTCAGCTGAAAGATCAGGGCTGAGTATCTTGCTTCCCATGTGTGGAAGAGGTTACATGCAAATTCTTCCACCAAAAAGGAAGACTCACTCCCTTAAAAAGGGAGAGATCTTTGTACCCACCAAAGAAATAACTGTCTTGAAAAATATCATTACTGCTGAGAGAAGTTAATGTCAGAAGCTTTCATCCAACTCTAAAAGATTTCCATGATGACCCAACTCAAAAATGTTTAAAGAGTGTCACAATGAATATAGACTTGTTATGTGGAGGAACAGGAAGTCACCAAGAGTAGTATCAGAGTTCTCAATGTTAGTTGGGCTTTTGTATGTTTTTATGTATGATTAAAAATTATAAATGGTAAAAATGCAAAAATTGAAGAACAGATGAGAGGATCTTTTTAGACAGGACACATGAAGCAATTGTCAAAAGAAGTTCCTGGCAGATTTTACTAAATTAAATACTTAAAACTTTAGTTCCCAAACCCATCAACAACACTAAAAGAAATTTGATGCATGGGAAAATGCTTTCATTATTTATTGTCCGAAAAAAAACTTTGAAAAAGGATCTTGTAATTATCTAGAACATGTGTAAATATATACTAAAAGATAATAATTTCAGTAAGAAATAATGGACAACATAGCTAGAATAGCTCGTAAATACATGCAAAGTAGTTTAACTCACTGATAACCAAAGATGGGCACATTGAAGCAGTTATGTTCTATCCCATACCCACCAGATGGCTAGCTTCTAGAAATTTGACAGTGTCAGTAATGAGCAAGGGCGTGAAGGAACCAATTGAAAAAAATAAATGATGCCTTCACTTTGGTAATGACTGATGAAATTTACAATGTATATTTGGGGTCCTATTTACAGGTATGTATGCTAGAGAAATGTTTAAATGTTCACATCAGCTTAAATGTTCACATCAGATTAAATGTTCATCTTTCCTGACACACAGATGGGAAGGCAAAAAATTTAGAAACAGTATAATTACTGGGGAAATGGATCAAATAATTGTAAAGTAGCATAGTGCCGATAACAAAGTAATACAGAATAAAATGAATAACTGTTAGAGCTGTGTAGACCTCCAGCAAGTGGCGGGATGCTGATGTTTCCAGGACCTAGGAAATGAAAGTAGTTCTCCTGATTCTGAGAATCTATTGGTTCTGTTCGGCCTCGTCCTCTCACAGGTGTCTAGATTTTTCTAAAGGTTGTCTGATGAGTGATGTGTCACTCTGGACAACCGATGGAGTGTGGGGTTGTATATGCTTAGACTTTACATTTTCATTTTTCACATCTAAATAAACACTGATGAGTACAATACAGATAAACATCTTTCGTGTTCATAGTAGTTTAAAAATGTAAATAGCTGACTTTTAAAAGCCATTATGAACAGTCACAGTATAGGTATTAATATCAACATAAAGACTATTTGACATGAAGATATGTCCATATTATGTAAAAGACAAAGAATAACGTACAAAACAGTATATAGACAATAAAGATTTAATATTTACAATAATAAGATGCTTTATAAGATGTTTATGAGTTAGATTAAAAGACTATTAAATAAAATTGAAGTTTGATTTGACTTTGCATGTAAATTTCCTTTCTAAACCTACAATTTTCCTGTGTAGTGTGTGTGAGGGGGAATGTTTGCATTATGTGATTAAAAAATTAAGTACATTAAAAGGACCTATAACTTTAGGAAACTAAAATTAATTCAGCAAATGCGTATTTGTTATCTACTTGCAATACTGCAATTTAATTCTAACACTGGACACCCAGAGTTAGTATCTGAGTCCACTAGTTTAAAGACATAGTGCCCCAGAAGTCTGCTCTTCTTTCAGGTGTGTACCACAGTTCAGAGTCTCAAGGTACCTCACTTCTGCCCTCACTGGCTGTAGTTCCAGGGTTTTCCTACAGTTGGTTTAGTAATTGACTAAAATGACTCATAGAACTCAAAAATTGCTGTAGTTGTGGTTATAGACAAAGAACATATATTAAGACATCCCAAATGAAGAAGAAAAGTATTAGGTCTGGAAGTGTCCTGAACAAGAGTGTCTGTCCTCTCTCCATATGGAATTGGTTTGTTACCCTCCGAGCATCTTCGTCGGGCTCCAGTGTGCTTAGTGTCTAGAATTGTCTTGGGTTTTATTTCTGAGGTGTAAGTTTCCAATCATGTCTTTATCTCTCAGTCTCCTCCTATCCTTGCTCCCATCCTTTCTTCTGTGACCAAACACGATTGTGAGTTATTTTCTTAATAAACACGCAAGTGTGATTCATGGATTTTGTCTCTCTTCCAGGAGCTGAAGACAAAGGCCAAATTCATTTTATATACAGTAGTATAATAGAAGAGATAAGTATTGCTAGTGAGGAAGCAAATTTCCAACATGAATGGATATACAAAGATTTTAGTAAATATTAAAAATCAAAAATAGCAGAAAACAAAAATGATCACAAAAGCAATTAGATGATCTAAGCATGGAAAAACTATATTTTTTATTTATTATAGTTACATTTATTAAAAATAACTACTTGGCCAGGCGATGGTGGCACATACCTTTAATGCCTGCACTCAGGAGGCAGAGGTAGGCGGGTCTCCATGAGTTCAAGACCATCCTGATCTACAAGAGATAGTTCTAGGACAGGCACCAAAAACTCCAGAGAAACCCTGTCTCGAAAATCATAAATAAATAAATAAATAAATAAATAAATAAATAAATAAATAAATACTTGAAATCAATTAGATCAGTTTCTGTAATTTCCTTTATGTGCCTAATTTGGGAAGATTGCTTGTCTAATTTAGGTCTATACATGCAAGAATTGGTTAGTAGAACTAAATGAGCTGTTATGAGTCCATTGTTAATCACATAGAGGACTTTTGATAAAGGTAACTGATTTTTAAAAATCAGAACAGAGGTCGCAGGATATAGTTATAATGGGAGAAGATTAATATTTATACAATAGAAATGGTATAAATTTAAGTATGTAAAGTGTATTGAAGACTTTTTAAAATTTCTTAATTTAACAAAAATATTTTAGTTTCTTCTAAACAGTAAATATTCCAGGCTCCTTATCATTCACAGCTGAAGTCTTACCTGTTTGCCACAGTCACCTATTGGGAGCCACTCGTTAGCTTGGCATCTGTTCCCTGCAGTGCAGATAAAGCCCTGTGAAGGAAATGAATGCTGGAATCCACACACAGTTTGGAAACCCCTAAACATGCTCCTGTTTTTGACATCCCAGGGATTTCTTTATTTTCCAGCACCCTCAGCTTTGCAGTCTAACATCACAGAGCACTTTCTGGATTCCAATTACCAGAAAAAGTCTGAAGTATTCTCAAATTTGAATGTGAATAAAAATCACCTGCAGGTTGGGAAAAACGCGAGTCTAGTTCAGAAGGTCAAGAGGAAATGCTACTCTGCATTTCCATAAGCTTTCAGATGACACTGGGATTGTTGGAAACCACATTGTGACAAATAAGGATCAAATCTAGAAGTAGAAGTGGCTTCTACATTGAAAATGTATTGCTAAAAATGTGTCACTGAGAAAAGTAATTTTTAAATTTCAGAGTATTTAATTATTTTACCAAATTCTTTCACTGGTTTTCCTCACAGTCAACCGTATTGCAATTGTTACTTTGTTAGTTATGATTTTTTTCAGAATATGCATAATATGCTCAAATATTTTTATATAAGCAATGACTCAACTGTTTACATTCTCCAACAATCCCTCAGCAGTAGTGATAATTACCTTTAGAATGCTGAGTGGAAGTCAATATTCTGTTGCCCCAGTAGTAAGACTCTTTGGGTTCCCATGAAAACAGTCTGTTCATTCCTAGCATATTCCTTCACTCATTTGTTTCTTCTGCTCAAACTCAGATAGATCCAGGCATGCAGCAAAGAAGAATATGGAGCCAACTGATCACCTGATTTTAATAAGGAAATCTACATGGCTTTTATAGGCAGTCCCTTGTTCCTCACTCCAGAACTTAAGCTTCTGTTTTATCTTAATTTGGTTGTCTTGGCTATATACATCTAGTTAGAAAATTTATCTGAAATTTTGAATAGCACTAATTAAGTTTAATATAGCATCTTTAGCGTTTATTTGATATTTGCATTATGGGCTAATATTGTGGCAGAATGAAGATAGAATAAGATGACTAATGTCACATTTCTGGTCATTTAAAAGGAGAATTTCCTGGGGAGGACACATACGTTTTTTTAAGATTCATGTTGTCAGAAAGTAATGTGAATACTAATCAGTATTTCAATCCTTCTTTTATAGGAATTAAGTCAGATGCTCTCAGAAACTCCACCAGTTTGGAAGGGATCATCAAAGCTCTTTAGAAATCTTAAAGAAAGAGGTAAGTTAACCTTAGTGCCTGTGCATTTTAATATTGACATGGATTAAAACTGTATGTGGAGAGAGAGAGAGAGAGAGAGAGAGAGAGAGAGAGAGAGAGAGAGAGAGAGAGAGAGAGACATATATGCCACCAAATGCAAATGTTTCTGGGTAAGTAATAGTATTTTGGTATAGTGTGATTAAGGATGATATTATGACTATATACATACACAAATATATATATACTTCATGACCTCTTTAGCTTCATCATTTTCAAACACACTGAAAAAATTTTACATAGAACATACTTTTCAAAAATATTAGGTCTTCAAGTATTAATTTTCTTCATTTCATTTTATATCTAGGAAATAATTGTTACTTCTCCAGTAAGTGAATATACAAGGTTAACCTGTGCTACATGATGCCCTAATTAAAAGAAAAGAAAAAGTAAAACATATCTTTGCAGTTTTTGTCTATAATATTTCCCCAATTTTCATATGAATGAAAGGGATGCTTTTTTATTGTGGACATTTTTTAAAACTAGGACTTAAATACTGGAATCGGGTATATTAAAATACTCCTTGGAGATCTGGGCATGGTGATAAATTTCACTGATCTCCGCTTCTCTGTAGCCTGAAGAGAGAGGATTTTAAGGTTATTTTTTTTATTGATTTTTATTGAGCTCTACATTTTTCTCTGCTCTCCTCCCAAATTAGACTGCATAGCAAAGACATCTCAAAACAGAAAATACTCTTAGAAATTTTGTTCATGTTTTAGAGGGAGTTAATAGCATTGGGAATGTTCAGACTCAAAAGGAATAAGTAAGTGTAATGAATTTTTTTGCCTTAATATATCTTATGAGAAAATAAATGGATCAATATAATTTGAAAACAGTGCATAGAAGAAAGAAATATTTTTTATCTAAGCAAAGGTTAGCCTGGAAGGCCTACCCCTCCACATGCTATATGCACTTTTTATGTTTTCTGTCTGTTTTTATATTTCCAGGGGTGAATATTCATTTAGCATTGTTCAGAATAACTGACTGCAGTGTTGGAAGTGTTCATGTTTCTCTTCTATTTTGTGTAGACACCATTGGCCAGTTATGATTATTGGGCTCTTCAAATGTTGCTAAAGTAACAAAGAATATAATTTTATTTGGATTAGTCTAAATTTAAATAACTACACCTGCCCATTGATTACCTACAGGAATCTTTATATCTGTCTCATATTCTTGATAGTAGCAAAATCATTAAACTATTGTCTTATAAGAGTTTAGAACCAGCTTGCTAAGTGGTTGAGAGATACTGAACTACTTGATTTACATATATATACATATATACGTATTTATGCACGTGTGTGTATGTACACACATGCCCACAAACATTGAGTGGTCGGAAATCTTTAAAACTAAATCTTTAAAGTTACTAAATATTAATTTAAAAATTATTTTATCTTTTTAGCTATAACTCAGTAAAAAAATTCAGCAGCTTTTCATAAAAGCAGTATATAACACTTATATCAAGAAATAGTAATTTAACAATGTCATGTTTTTATGGAAATTCTTAAATTTTTTAATTGAATTTTTAAAACCTAGTTGTCATCTCTTCTTCTTTCCTCTCCACTACTCAAGACAAGGTCTCTTTAAATAGCCCAAAGCTGTCCTTGAACTTATAGTCCTCCTGCCTCTTGATTACATGTAATTTAGTTGACATGTTCTTTATCCTGTACTAGTAAAAACTACCATTACTATATAGTAGCATTTAACTTTATGTTTGTCCTACTAAGTTAGCCTTAAGTAGACTGAAGGGTTGATCTTCTCATTTTCTTCTGGTTTTCTATGTTTATAGTTAGAAAGCATTGTGAATCTATAATTCATCTGCAGCAGTATTTCCTTTTCTCCTTGACCTTTTTCTTTTCAGCTATATCACTTTATTCTCTCCTCCTGTGTGAATATTAATCCAAATCAGTAGCCAGGTTAGCCCTACCAAAAAAATGCCTGCTATGACCCTCTTAATAATAAACTGTTTAGTAACAGTCTTCCTGTTAATTAAACCTTTTGTAAGGTTAATCTTGAATTAGTCATAGTAATTATATGGCTTTAAAGTTCCTTATATCAGCTGTAATACTTTGTCACCTACTAAGAGAATTAGAACAGTAAGAGGACACTTAGATAATTGTAACTCTACAGCCACCGACTGTTTCAAAATCTCTCTCCCAGAACGTTCTTGCAGTCATCCAGAACTATGTCTCTAGGTCACATATTTTAGTATAAACAGGAGAGAATGTTTTCCGAGCCTAGTGCGCAGTTACCTTCATGGCCCTGACAAACTGCCTGGTGGTGACTCCTCGTCTCTTTGTTCTAGACAGAGTTAGTGAAGCTTCAAAGGACATCAGATAAGTGAAGAGGTAAAGTCCACAATGTCTTGAAGGGTGTTTTTTTCATACCTTTAACCAAACATCAAGATTGATTGCAATGTAGGTAAATATTGCAGACTTATTCCTGAACTTAATTGTTTCAGTCTTTTCTTAGTCAGTTACACTATTAATTCTAGCTTTAACAATACGAAAGAGTAGCCTAGAAGTGGAAAATGCAGTAACAGAATGTGTATTTATTTACTTCATGCACAAAATTGGTAAGATTTGTAATTATGGGATACAGAGAGCTCGGTATGCAGAAAACATGAAGTGAGGACCACAGAGCTAAAGAAAGAAACCCTTAGAGTCAGTTAAGAGTACAGGCTGTTATAAAAGTACTGAGGGGCCATTTGACAGCAAAAGATTGGTAAGTGTATTTTTTGTTTTTGAATGTTACAATCAAATTTCTAAGCAAGTAAATATGTTTCATTCAAGTGTTACTAAAAAGTGACTAAGTTCTTTATAGCATTTCTGACCATTTTATGTCAGTTTCATAGAGTAAGAACAAGTTTAAAAGTTAAACTATAAATAAATATAACATTTTGTTTCTTATTGCCAGCATATTTATCATGAATGAGCATTTTGTAGGAATTTTTATAGAGGCATGTGAAAAATTTAAATAAAATGAATTTTTCAACATTTGCAATGATTTTATAATATTGTAGTTTTATTTTAACAATATTTAGCAGACACCTCAAAACTATTAATAGTTTTTATTGTATACAACATTTAGCTTTTATGTTTGTGAAATATAAGTTAATATTTTATAAGGCATAATTGATACTGTTTTCTTCTAGGTGTGATTTCTTATACTGAGTATCTTTTTCTTTTATGTATTTTAACAAGTAAGTATACTCATTAAATTTATTTCTATATGTATTTTCCTTATGATCTTAAAAATGTGTCTTTCTTGGCATACTGTTGGAAATTACCTCGTGTGTATGTCAGCTGTTGTACAGATTCATGTCTAATTATCACAGGAAAATATCAAGTATAACATTGTCAGAGTCGAAACCCTATATATCTTGGCTTGTGACAATAATAAAATTTTCATAAATTATGAATATATTACTCTTTGGGGTTTAAGCTACATGAGACCTTAAAGATCAGAACTTATAATTTATAAAGGCTCTATTATATGCACTTAAACCAGGTTTTCTGCAAGTCTAATGTGAAAGAGTAGAAGATCTTGAGTCTCCTAACTGCTGGGGAGCCTATCCCGATACCCACCATTGTCCACTGCAGTGGCTCGCACGCGCTCCCTGGCACATCATGCAGCAGTGTTTGTGAAATACTAGAGCTTCTGCTTGACTTTGTTTTCATCCACAAGAGGAAACTGTGTGCTGTGCTCACTGAACCTCGGGCACCTAGCCTTTCCATTTTGGCCTCCAACCCCAAGGAGGAAGCCCTGCTCTTTGAGCCCCCAGTGCTTCTCTCAACACTGAGGCGAGAACCATTCAGGTTTCCTCTTGAAACACTAACGAGCCCTTAATTGGCCTCACTCTTCAAGTAGCTTTCTCACCCTTCTCTTTTAATCCCTTCATCATGCTTTATTTTCTTCATAGAACTTAGATTATTTGAAATTACTGGTTTATGTGGTCAGTCTTGTGATGGCTGTGAAAAGTCTGTAATTACTAAATGTTACTCTTTTGGGCCATCTATATCAAGAACAATGTCTCATTCATAGTATACTTTCAGAAGCCAATTAATGAAGATAAAAAGAAAGAATATTAAAATATTACTTTAGGAAATTTCAGATGAGGACATATGTGTAGATGTATACAAATAAGAGCATTAGTAAAACTCATTTTAAAATTTGATTTCTATGCTTAAAAATGTTATACTACTGTGATAATCTTACTTTAGTTATAAGTGATATATAAAGGGTAGGTGTGAACATGTGAATACTTGTTTATTGTTTATATCAAAATTTAACATAGCTTATTCCCATAATGAAATTAAAATTTTAGTGTTGGAAAATGAATGCTTTGCCATTGTTAGTAGGGCCAGCTGGGATTGAGCCAGCTTGAACACTAGTGACAGTTCCAGTCTAGTCTGTGATCCTGCCGTGAAACCACAATGTCGAGAGGCGCATCAAAGATGAATTTACATTTGCCTTTGGACACAAAATTGCAAGTTATAAATATTTAAATAAGCTTAGTGATGGTGAATTAAGAAGGACACTGTTGGTTAAAAAGCCACTTAGAAGGGGCAGGGTGTTGTGTGGGGTTAAGACAAACACATAATCAGCTCGCTTACTATAGACTGGTTAAATTGTCTAGTGCAGTGACATTTCCTAAGAGTGTGACAGGAAAATTATGGGAAGTCACGTGATTAGAATTAATATAAGTATGAGATGAAACTATGGAGGAGTGGCCATATTATCTGTGGCATGGGCCTGTGAGTGCTTCCTTCTGGCCTTTAGTCATTTTGCCTTCTAAATAGTGCTTATAAAGGTTCATTTTACATATATTTTCTTCAAAATCTTTTAAAAATATAAAATACTTGATCTTCAGGCAAGCTTTATTTATTAAAATACAACTGAACTATCACTACAATAAGGAACTGGCTTCCATTTCTGATATTTCCAGAGGTGGCTATGATGGGTTAAGCAAGTAGGGCTATCTGCTCTTGGCAAAGGTCAGAATTTCCTATCAAGGTAGCAAGTTTATTAGTTGGATAGGGGGAACATTTAGATTTCTTCTAGCCATTTCAGAGGAAAAGGTGAATTCTTGTCCAAAGGCATTGTGCACTGAACCTCTCCTTGAAAGATAATCCAAGTTTTTCTTCCATCCAGGTTTTCTTGTTTATAGAAACCAAAACAAAAGACAACAAAAAAATAAAAATAAAAAAAGCATCGGCATCCAGAAAAGAATCATAAATTTAAGTCAGCACATAAGACATGAGTCTTCCTCAAAATAAACTTGTTCTTTGGATTTGGGAGGGCTTCAATTACACATTAAATAGTATAAAATTTTCTGTGTTTTGAAGCTTCTAGAAGTTTAACCACAAATTTGTACCCTCTCATGATCACATTTATTCCACAGGTGATTTTAGTTTAATTTTTCTGAAGACTTTAAACTGGTGCATTGTGCTGTATTTTTACTCTTTTCTGCCACTTCAAGTAGTTGAACATACAGAAAAAAATTCAAATGTAGAGACCTCTTAGTTCTTTTTTAACAAGTAGGCAGAAATGTGAATATTTGTTTATAGAGGGATGGAGTCAAATATTTCCTTTGATGCTATGCAGTAAATAGCAGTAAAGTACTTAGAAAGCTTATGATCAGTTCTGATTCTATGTCTGAAATACATGAGGCAGAAATATGTGTCCTTCAGTATAACTTTCACTGTATTTAACTTATAGTAACATGTTGCCTTTTCTCTATTGGTTATTTTTTGCAGTCTATGTATCTGTTGAATGTTCTTTTTTTCTGGCAGAGCCTCATGCAGGGTTTAGAATAGCTTTCAACATGTTTGACACCGACGGAAATGAGATGGTGGATAAAAAAGAATTTTTGGTGGTAGGTACATGATATACTGCGTTTTCTAATAACTGAATATTGCTCACTGATACGTTATGTTTTTGTGTTATTGGGACTATTACTACAAAGTGATCTTGCACCTGAATCTAATAAGCAAGTGTATACCTCAAGTAATGTTTACCTTATGGAAGCATAAATTATATTGCGTTTTTAAAGATGAATATAGCTAGAAGTTTGGAATTTGTCAGACACTTTGTACTTGATAGACGGTTCTGAGATTATGTTTGTCCTGCTAATACTTCGTTGCTGTCACACTGGCCACCTTGCTGCAGCTCTTTACCGTAGAAACTTCTCTTTTTATCAGTTCGAGCTCACTTTCCCTTTCCTTTTCTCTCCCTTCACTGTTACCTTATATTTTAGGTGTGCGGACCCGCTTCCCTGCACACTTGCTTTCCTGCGACCAAGAGCTTTGATCTCTGGCCCTCTTCTGCTCCTCGTTTTCTCATCTCCCCTCCCAAATTGTTTTTCCTTTTACTTCTGTGTTTTACATCTGTTCTGTGGCAAAAATGCTTTCGCTGGTTTTTATTTTTCTGAAATAAAAAGTAATATTAATTTATTTTTTAGAGTAGCAAAATCTTCTATTAGTATCAGTGCTCAGTTCCATCTTTTTGTGTCCTCTATTTAGAAGAAAAAGGTGGTATATAAAGGGCTCTTTTTTTCCAGAACAGACCTATTTATTAGAATAATTTTGAACAAGTGTTCTTAACCAACACTGACTTTTGGAAATCCCATTTCTTAAAAGCTCTTTATGCACATGTCTTTTGGAATGGTGTCTGCGTGTGGGATGGGAAAATGAAGTAAAGTTGAGATTGCTGTCTAAATTTCATAGACAAGAGTGATGAACTATCCAGAAAATTAGTTTAAAAGATTGTGTGTGTGATAGAAGGATCTCTGCAGACATCACGGCCAGCAGAGTAATGATCAGCCTGAGACAAGAAGGAGACAAGACAACACGACTCAGTAGCCAGTGTTGGTTCAAACTTCGAGAGTCTGATACCAGGCAGGTTATTTTAGCCACATTGAAGCACAGCACAGTTTGGAAAAAGTTTCCTGGTGAAAATTAACCCAGTCCCATGAGCAAAATAAAGCTTAAGTCATGACTACATCAAAACTCTTTGTAAAGTGCATGTGACCTCCCCATAAAGATGGGTTCTATAGATTGACCACATGTGACTTAAGGGTCATTGGAGGATCTGGTGTGGCCTGGCCATACAGATAGGACAAAGGTCACCAGGCAATTAGCCACATCCTGTCCAACTGTCTGGGTGGGAAATTGGTTATCTTTTAAACATCAAAACATCTCTTCCTTTGAAGAGAGACAACTCTGTGTGTTTAACATTCTTGGTGTTCATCTGTGAGCACAAGGAGCTCATGTCCTCTACAGTAAAAGAAGTGGGAGCAGGCTTCCATTCTAAAACCACAGAATTTAAAGAATATTACTAGCTGACATTTACTTAGAAATAATAGGCAAAGTGCTAGGTAATTAGTTGTGGTGTTTATTTTATATTTTACATAGCACTCCATAAGTCAAGGAGTGTTCCTTATGTTCCAAGTACAGAAAATGAACCTCAGAGAATGAACTCATCTGAGGAATGATATCAGCAGTCTACTGCCTACAGAGCAGTTACTGCGAGAACTTGTCCTTTGTTCCTACATAAACTAACTAGAGCAGTAGGAGCTGAGTGGCCTAAATGACAGTGAGACCAAAGCTGAACTCTGACAGATTCCTGGAGGACTGCTTCCATGTTCTCTACAGCCCAACAGGCTCCATCTCTGTCTAGGCCTCAGACTCCCTGTCTTTGTGCCATTGAGATCAAGGGAAACTGAAACATTAGACACATTAAACTCAGCTGTGAATTGCCAGTACCAAAGTGTTGAAATAAGAGTGGCGGGGCTGCGTCCCCAACACCCTGGCCGCTTGGCTAGCTCATGCCCGAAATAACAACACACAAACTGTATTCATTTAAGAACTGCTTGGCCCATGAACTCTAGCCCTTACAGGCCAATTCTCGCATCTGGACTAGCCCATTTCTAATGATGTGTGTAAGCACCCCAAGGTGCGCTTACCGGGAAGATTCTAGCCTAAGTCCATCGTGGGTTGCAGCTGCCTGGGAGAGCTGAGCATGGCGTCTCTGCTCCAGCAGAGCTGTCGGGTCTCTCCGGAAGCAGAGCAGAGTCTGACCTCACTTCCTCTTCCGCCTAGAATTCTATTCTGTTTACTCCTCCCATCTATGTTCCAAGCCATGAGGCCAAGCAGCTGGTTTATTATAACTTAACCAATGAAATCAACAGATTGATATATGACACTCCCACATCACCAAAGAATGTGGTTTTCTTGTGAAAATGTAACTAGAGTAGTTTAAGTGTTGACTAAACTATTTTTGCTTATTTTTAGGATGTACTTAGCATAGAGTATTATGTAGGTATCTCAAAGTTCTGATGGAATTCGATTCCTGATTTATTTCCTTATAGCTTCAGGAGATATTCAGGAAAAAAAATGAGAAGAGAGAAACTAAAGGAGATGAAGAGAAACGTGCGCTGCTGGTAAGACATACTTTATGGTAGTTTCAGGTGGCTTTTTCCAGGTGAGAATTATGTTTTACATGTTGAAACAGTGTAACATTTAGAATTTGGATCTTTTCCTTTATTGAAAAGTTTCCTGAGGTTTAATTTAGTAAAATTACTTCAGTATCTTATACATCAATATCAATATTTGTGTTAAATATTGATATCAAATATCTGTACCCACAGTCATACTCATTAAATCATTCCATCCATACTGTTGTTATCTGTGAGATTTGAAGGGTATATATCATATAATAGATTAATAAGATCATTATGCATGTAAAAGTTTAAAGGTGAATATGCAAAGGTTTAATTATGTGAATGGATTAATGATAATGTTACATAATAGTGGTAAATATAAGGAAATAAGGTAGACTTTCTGCATCTCTAAGAAGTAGTATAAATTCTCTTTCTGGGTTACATACTAGTGCTTTGTTCTAAAGTTAGAACTGACAGTATTTTATCCTCTCAGTCTTCATTTGTCCCCAATATTTCAGTCTTGATAATAGGCCAGTTTACATAATAAAAACTGGCCCTAAGTCCTTACTGTCAAATGCAAGGCTAGCTGCTTTCCATGGATTTTGTCAATCTGTTCAACAATCTTCCTGTTGTACATAATTAAGGATGAGGAAGCTGATCATTATAAAGTTTAAATATCTTATCTACAGCTATAATACTGTTCAATAAGAAGTCACAATTTGAGCCTGTGGTGGCCAGCTCTGAATTCTGTACTTTTATCCATCTTCAGTTACCCATTTGCTACTTAAAAATATCAGAAATTGTTTTGTTGACGTATAATAGGAATCTAACTAGAAGTATCTATTCTAGTTATTAGCAAGTTTTTCAGATATGTACACCAGATAACAAAGGAAAAGAAGAACAGGAAAATACAACACACAACACATGGGAGAAAGCTACAGTGTCAACACAAAAGCCAGGATGAAGGGCTCTGGGACACAATTAAGGCGAGCATTTTATAATAGTGATCACATTAGCTTGGATTAATTAGGTGAAGTCTGGGTAGATTATGAAATCTGTAGATGACCTGTCTTGTATCCACACGTTAGTGATGCATTCCCTAGCAAATATTGGGGAAGAAATGTAGTTTTAAAGAGCAAGAAAAAAATAACAAATAAGTTGTATATAATTTTATATTATGTACATAAAGGATTTCATTACAGTATCTGATCTCAAAGGCACCTCAGAGGTTGATATTACTCTACATAGCGCTGTTAAGAGCTCATTACTTAATTTAGTTAGGAGATGTACCTTTCAGTGTTTCTGAAGTAGTGTTTAGTTTGCCTCTCACTGACAGCAAATCCTCTTTCTTGTATTTGAAAGGAACAGCCCTTGGTTTCACTGTGTTAGTAATATTTTCAATAATGAAATCTAAATAGACTTTATACTGTCTTATCTATACAGATCAAGTAAAATGCAAATGCTTTTGTCAAGCTGATATAAACAATAATAAACATGTATTCTAAATAGTGAGCTTGAAGCAACTAAAATTTATCTTATAATAAAAATAAGTAAAGGCCTCAAAAGAAGATAAACCATGCTCTTGAGCTAATTTGAAGGATTTTACTATTACCTGTATGGTGCTTTTACCTGTTGAATCTTCAGCAAGATTCTTAACCTCCCTGTCTCACGATTTTTAGTTTTACAATTAAATGATAAAACAGTATTGTCAACATCTGTAATTTTATAAGGATTAAATGAGCTAAAATGCTTACTTACCAGTAGAAAATATAATTATAAAAATAAAATAAACATTAAAAATATTAGCTAGTACACTTAATAACATCATAGTTTCTTTAGCCAAAAAATTAGTGTATCAAAATCAAAATACTTCCATATCAATAAGACTCTGAAATGAACAGTGTGTTTAGGTCTGTGCTAAGATCGTACAAAATGGTACTCTCATGTAGTCCTCCTCTCATTTCCGCCAGGTAAGTATTAATAGTGCTCCACAGGTGAGCAGAATCTATCATCAGAGCAGCGGTAGTAGCAGATAGGGCAGGCCTCTCATACCATTGTCACCACCATGCTGCCGAGTCTAGCATTGCCATCTTATGTAAGGTCCTGGACCTCTCACAGACGACATGCTTCAGAGGAGCATGTTCATTCACAGCTGTAGTCATCTCACGTACAATAAAAGTGGTTGAAATGAGCACAGAATAATTTAATGGTTAATTATATTAGATATTAAAAACTTTGCTACTCATCTTTAACATTTATCTCACTTGTGTGTGTGCTTTATAGAGAATGTAGCATAATGATTTGCCCTTCCTAATTGATTATTTTGTCGTCTTTTTCTTTTTTCTTTCGCTGTACTTGGGTTCATTCTGAAATGTGACACTTCATTTGGCCCTTTGTGCTCTATGTCAGCGTCTTCAACTTTATGGATACCATTCTCCTACTAATAGTGTATGTACAACCCTTTAAATGTTTCTTATGTATATAGCCCTCACCTGTTATATTAGATAATGTTATATCTATATCTAAAACTATATGTGCTATTTAAAATGTTTTGGAATTTATTGAATACAGTAAGATGCAATCAAGCCAAAGGTTCTTTTGAGACTAAAATATAGAAAGTAATCATGTATCTTTATTAGCTGTATATCTGTAAATTAGCATAAATGTGAGTGAACAGGTACCACCAGAAATTCTGGTAGAATAATTGAAATTTTATATTTTTCAGCAATGTATGAAGCATTATACAAAAATAATAGAGCAGATAGGCTCTCTTCCTGAAGAACACAGGTATTTTAAGAACTAAATCTAGATTGGTCAATGCCAGTAAAAGCATGTTAATGAGTAGATTTTTTAATTTTTAGTTTTCATCTTTTTCTGAAACTCTGTTGCCTGCCAACTTGCTGTAGTCTTTTAAAAAGATGTATAAGATGCTGCGTGTTATATTACTATACAGAGACAATTATGAGTTTCATTCTTTCATTGTGAAAATTTCTATAAATGTTCTCCTTAATTCTGACTTTTCCGTTCTCTTGAAAACAAACTTATTGGTTAGTCTAGCACATAAGAACCTGCTCAGAATAGACCTGACCCTTTCCTATAAACATGTGCAGTTCATTTAATTTCCCCAGGTATCCTTCAAGCTTGGGAAGTCCTTGAATTCAGGGGCACGTGTCTAAGGTATCACGTGCAGTTTTAAGGCGGGCACTCACCTTCCGTAGTGTCCAATTAGAGTAACTGGAAGTTTCTCTCACCTGCCAGCTCCCGAATAACCACTCTGAGTCTCAATATTAATTATAAACTTGTTGGCCTTTTAGCTCAGGCTTATTGTTAACTAGTTCTTACAACTTAAATTAACCCATTTCTATTACTTTATATTTTACCATGAAGCTTGTTACCTCACATCTTGCTTCCACGCTGCGGCTTCTCCCAGACTCTGCCTTCCTCCTCCCTGGCTTTTGCTTGGATTTCCTGCCTGACTCTATTCTGCCTAGCTATTGCCCAATCAGCTTCTTTATTAACCAGTGGTAATAAGACATATTCACAGCATACAGAAGGGTTTTCCCATATCAAATTAGCTACTCTAAACTGTAAAACTCTTACTTTAAACTTAAACACACACTGGAAGCAGTTTCAGCATCAAGTAAGCACAGGTATCCTGCCTACTCACAAGGAACAGCAAGGAATAATTGGAAAGCAAGCCAAGTCTATGGGAATCACATACCCAAGTGTTTAAATTTGTCTAAGGAATAGGAACCATTTTCTATAAAATATACTACTGCTTCCCAAAAAAGAACAATTTTTAGTTGATTTTAAAAGTATTTCTCTGTTAATCCTTTAAAATTTTGTAAAAACTTATAAAATGAAAATCTCACATTAGAAATCATGTGTACTTTTAAACATATGGTTAATAATATTTATGACTTTAGTACTCCATAACTTTGTATGAGCCACATTTTAACTGCAGCAGTTTGAATAGTTTGTTTAATTTCATGAGTAGTTACCATACAGTTTAAACTGTGTGTCCTTTACAGTCTCAGGTGCTAAGAGATTAGCCAGATATAAACAGTCTATGTCTTGTTTATATTATCCTTGATCAGGACAACTTTTATTTTTATGTAAGAGACATGTGAATGTGATCTAACTTTATGTTTTTCTAATCTACACTCTCAAGTGGATTACATAATTTAACTCTCTTAAGATTTTGATTGACGTTTTGAACTTTTTCATATAACGGAAAATTTCTTGTCAGTTAGTAATGATTTTCCTAAAGTACCTTCAGGAAGGAAGTGGGGTCTGGACATGAAGACAGACACTCTCTGACTCCTCAAGTAGGCTGTTCCAAGATTATTTCTTCCTGCAGTAGGTTCTGCCTGTTGTCATTTTCCTACTGCAGTGAAAGATTGAGGCTGTTCCCTGTGTCTATGAATAAAGCAGTTCCCTTCAGTAGATCTTCTACTCTAAGTACCCCAGATTCATTTTAGGTTTCTCCCGTAGGAAGAGAAAATTCAAAAGATTAAGTAATTCAAATATCTCAAAGGTTAGAAATCTTTTACTTCAGCATCCTTTATTACTGTTTTAGAATATTTTTCTTAACTACCTTAATTATATTACTAACAGAAAATGTGTTAATTTTTAATACAGTTTCTCTTGTATTTCATCATATGTTGAAATGTGATTTATGGGCTAAATGTTGATATTCATAAATAATCTTTATTTAAAAAAAATGTGTCTTCTCTGGTTTATGATGCAGAGTTGTAATACATATGTGTAAATATATTTACACATATATATTACCATGCATGTTAATTGTATGTTTTCTTCCTTTTCTGTCATTACTAGCAGTTTTGTCTGCTTAATCTGTCAATTGGTATATTAAACTAAATGTTACAATTATAGATTTTATTGTCTACTCAAAATGGTTTTCATTTTTATTTTATCTATTTTGATACATTATGTGTGTAAGAATATAGATAAATTATTATTAGCCAAATTTCCAGTAGGCACTATACTAGATTTCTGGGTATATTTTGCCATCTAGTTTAGTTACAAGTATAGATTACCTTTTTAATTAATCTTTTAGACTTTTTAATTATCGTTCCCTGTAATGATAATGAAGCTTTTTCTGATTTTAAAAGTGTATTTTAGCCGGGCGGTGGTGGCGCACGCCTTTAATCCCAGCACTCGGGAGACAGAGGCAGGCGGATCTCTGTGAGTTCGAGGCCAGCCTGGTCTACAAGAGCTAGTTCCAGGACAGGCTCCAAAGCTACAGAGAAACCCTGTCTCGAAAAACCAAAAAAAAAAAAAGTGTATTTTAGCTCAAACTTAATGCAAATAAAATGAATAATTATAAAATAATTCAAAAAATACAACAGAAAATAGGTCAATAAAATGAGCCCGTTGTTAATCTAGCATCTATAAGGAAAATGCACTGTGCTACTTTTGTATTTAGCCAGTTTTCCTGGCATAGTTTGTAACTGTTTGTTATCAACCAAGTTAGAAAAAGCAGTAATGACAGATCCTTGTCACATGGATTCTGGGGCCACGTGGACACACAGCATGTATGTCTGTTACCTGTTTCCAGCTAAACAATACTACATTATCAACAAATTATTAGCAGTGGACAGTGTTGTCTAGTTAATTATGAAGCTAGCTAAAATTAGAAAAATACCTTTGACTATTCCTAGTGCATGCTATAGTTTTAATATTACCTCCAGATTTCCTGTCTATTTGCCTGAGACAGAGTCTCACTATCCTGTCCAATCAGGTCTTGGACTTTTAAGATCTAACAGTCTCCTGTCCTGAACTCTAAAGTATCTGGGAATAACCACATGCACACACCTCACTGATACCTGCCTTTTGAAAAGTGAGACAGAAGAAAAGGAAAAAAGTTCTATCCTGCCATAGTAAATTTTCTTTTCTCTGTGACCAAAAGATCTGTAAGCCTGATAACTGCAGTATCCATTGAATATCCAGACAGAAGCTGATTTTAATTATTTTTGTTTAGAGTTTCAGGTTAGACTTGTAGTTTTTAACCTTAGAAATACCATCACGCCAGCCAATAGCGAGATGAACATGAGTGCCCTGCCCTAGTAAGCATTAATATACCTTCCCTTTCATAGTAGACACAGCTGTCAAGTCCTGGAACAGGTTTTCAACATGTGATGTATATATTTTTACAAGCTTTGTATTTAAGTCTGTATCTATAAGGTATGGATATGTTTATTTTGATTTTGTTAGTCTAATGAGATGAATGATAAAACAACTAATTTTTAAATTAGATAGGCATTTAATAGGTTACCACAAATTTACAAATATCTCCATTTACCACTTCACACAAAGTGTAAATAAAATCTTCATGTCATACTTTTGTAGAAGTTAATATATGTCTCAACAAAGAGACAGATGAGATTGAAGAATTTGATTCTTTTTGACATAGCCACATTGTGCTCAGAAACAGGTTCTATACCATTTCCTCCCTGACAGCACCATGGGTGTGCTAGCTGCGTAATCTAGTACTGTTGTGTGCAGCAGAACAACAGTGGAGGTAAGCTGATGGGCTCTCTTCTCTCGGTTAAAAGAGACGTACAGCAGGTAGGTTGCCATTCACTGTGACAATTCTTAGATTTATGATGTTGTTCTTAAAACTTCTACAGGTACTTAAAACAGATGCTGAGGAACTCGTCTCCAGGAGCTACTGGGATACCCTGAGACGTAACACAAGCCAAGCACTCTTTTCAGACCTCGCAGAGGTACAATGAAGCCTCCACGTGGTCCTTGCATGTGCCATTTTGTTAATCTAATCCACATTTGGTTTTAGACTCACAAAATGAAGCAAAAAAGTACCATTTTTTCTATTGCCTTTTTTTAGTAAATTGATAAGTACTATGTGCCATATATAATTACTGTATAGAAAGAGTATTTTAATATATTCATTATACTGACAAGAGATGCCTGTTATTACAATCTGGGTTAATTGACCTTTTTCATATATAGAGCATAACTTTCCAACTTAATTAAGGACTAGAAAGTTGAAATAGTAGCACAGATTTGTAAATTCACTGAAACTGTTTATCCTACAACATTACAGTGTTATAGGAAATACTAAAATGCTTCACTTATAAAAGATGGCTGGCTCTTATGTTAGTTTTAAACAATTAAACTTCTCCAACTAATAGTGAACAGTTTAACAAGGGCAGGGATACAAAGTGTCCAGTGGTGTGATAGAAACATTCAGTCAAGGAATGGAGAAATTGTTGACCATTGTATTACTTAAGATTGCCAGTCCATGTTTAAATAAGAATCAAGGCAGCTCAGATTCTGTTGTAGTATTGTTTGAACTTGATGTCTATGGACACTTTAGTGCTGCACTCAGGATGGACTGCCTCTCCTCTCCTATTCATGTAGTGCTTCCATCAATAGGCTTTAAGTCTGTAATATTAAACTTGACATCTAATTTCCTTTCTAACTGTATGATTCAGTGTTGGCGTGCTTGGCACGCAAGCATGAGGACCCAAGCTCAGCCATCGTACATCCATGGGAAGGGTGGTGGCACAGAGGCACATTCTCTATTCTTTAGTCAGCAGAGGAGGAGGAGATGAGGATAGTAGCTACTGCCTGCTGGCCAGGCAGTCTTGCTGCATTGACAAAGCCAGATTCACTGAAAGACCCTGCCTTAAAAACATTAGGTAGATAGTGTTAGAAAGACATCTAACACTGATTCCAATACATTTGTGACTTCTTTTGATTTTCTCTTTAAAGTTTGAAGTGGGGCCTAATTTGGAGATTATCTCTGTTGTTGCACCCCTACATTATAGAAAAGAAAGTTAACTATAAGTCACAACTTATTATAATTTCTCATGTTACTATTGATATTAATATGACAGAATTATTTCAAGATTCAAACTGAGTCAGAAGGAAAGCATAGAAATTTGCATATGTATTTCTTCATTACATATAATACACAGTTCTTAAGATATTTTAGGTAACTTCGATCTTAGCTTCTCATTTTATCATTTCACAACTACTTAAAACTATTGGTATTTTAAATTATAGAGAAACCATGTTTTTAAAATTACTGTGAAATTACATAAAGAAAATTTGCATATGTCACAGCTGGCACTAATTTCTGACCAAAATAATATGACAGGTATATTGTACAAGTACTGAAATCTGTTTGTCAGTACCGGTATTCTTAAAATTATTTTGATTTTTACAAATGAAATTTAATATTTTGTACTGTAAATTCTACTTACCCACTGGATTATTTAGAAACTTAATTCTATTATGTTTGACAATTTCCCTTTGCTGGAGATTAAGGTTATTTTCACATTGTAATCAATAGACTTTGTTAAAAGACTGTCTTAAAACTTTATTTTTTTATAGCTTTAATGAATTTGTATTTTATACAAATTTTGAAATTTAAAATAACTTTTTATGTGTTTAGAACTGGTGCTAGGACTGAGTCATGCTAACACACACTGCCACTGACCAGTACCTCACCACCTCTAAACTATGTCCCACTCCCTCTGAGCTACCTCCCAGCTAATACAACTTTTAGCCAAATGTACCCAGTGGATGATGAGTGACATGCAACCGCGAGACCCATCTTTTTAGAAAGCCACTCTGCTTCCTGACTTGTGATGAGCACAGCTGTTTAACAGTGGAGCTTTGTGATCATTTGAATTTATAAAGTAGAGAAGGAAGGGCAAGAAGAGGGAAAGGCTAGCGAAGCTCTGAAGTGGGAGCTGCGTAAAACAGTTCGGGTTTGTGAGGGCTGTAGTCAGACACAGTAGAATTTTGTTTGTGGAAATGTAGTTTATTAAGTTGAGTAAAGGGGAAATCCTGTGAAATTAACCTCTTGACCATTTAAAAAATTACATGATGGTTTTCTTTGAAAAAAGTATAGTGATAAATTTCTTCTCTAGTTCCTCTTTCTATATGTATTATGACATTTTAAAAAATCAGTTGTTATATAATAAACATGGCTAAAGGAAACTGTTTTATAAAAGTTTGGGTTCGTTCTCTGTCATCTCCATATAAGCAGAATTTTTGGAGAATATCCCTCTTTTGAATGAATTTTTCATGTTGTTTAGAAAATCCTAACTAATTAAATAAAAGCAGCATAATTGAATGATGTCTGAATAACTGAACTATTTTAGATAATATAAAGTCTAGGTATCCTGTGACCATACATAATAGCTTCAGATAGAATAATTTTAAAATAAAACTATGACTTTAATATTTTAGAGATAAAGGTCAATATTGCTCAAGTATCTGTTTTTAAAATTGGACCACTTTAGTTCTAGTTGCATTCATGACTGTATCCTTTGCTCTTCATTCTAATGTTTGGACCTTTACATTTTGGGGTTTTCCGATGTGTTTATGTTTATATAAATTGTCGGGCCTGCATGTATATATGTGCACCATGTCTGGACCTGTGCCTGTGCAGATGAGCTGCTGTGTGGGTGTTGGGACCCAAATCTGGGTCCTCTGGAAGAACAACAAGAGTTCTTGACCACTGAGCATCTCTGCTGCCCCTCTTGGTTTATAGTTTGATAACATACTTGGGAGATAGTGAATATCCTATTTTGCTTTGTTTTTCTTTTTACTGCTAACTTTAAATTATGTTTTTAAGCGTGCTGATGACATCACAAGCTTAGTAGCAGACACTACACTTCTGGTACACTTTTTTGGAAAGAAAGGAAAAGCTGAGCTCAACTTTGAAGATTTTTATAGGTGAGCTAAATTTCTGTTGAAAATTATTAGACTGCTAACGTCCGGGGATCCCGGGAGATCATCTGGTGCAGTGGTCTGAGCCACGCTGGTCTTCACAGAAGGTACTCCGTAGTACCCACTGCCACTGCTGTCACTGGTTATGTTTATGGCACAGTTACTGAAAAATAAAAAATAAATACATATAAATTATTATGTCTTGTGTTTTTAGAAGAAAATTGCTCATTAATACCTCAGCCTCAGTAAGCCGCAATAATAACGGCCAATACCCTTTCTACCCAATGAGGTGCTGTAGCCATTCTGTGGACAAGCAGGCTCCAGCCCGAAAGAGAAGCTGTGTGTTCAGGTTCAGCTCTGTGACCACAGCTCAGAGCAGTAATCCCTCTCCACCTCGGAAACTTTGAGCCGTCACATAATTAAATTATTTCCTATAATTAAATGTGCAGTAAACATTTGATCATTTACCTTGTTTATTTTTCATTATTTTACCACAGATTTATGGATAACCTACAAACAGAAGTTCTAGAAATAGAATTTCTTTCCTACTCTAATGGAATGAATACTATCAGTGAAGAAGATTTTGCCCATATTCTTCTACGGTATACAAATGTGGAAAATACATCAGTATTTTTGGAAAATGTGCGCTATAGTATACCTGAAGAAAAGGTATTTAACCTCTTATCTTCATTTTGTTACATCTATTATCTTGAAACACATTATCTAATAAATGGTATTTTGTATAGATTTATTAAATGATTTTATTAATCTAACTCCTCTGTGAATTAAAAACTGTTTTGGATATATATCATTCTTTCCTTCTGTATGCCAAGGCCTGTTAATTTTGAATTCAAGTAGAGATCATATTCTTAGAAATACTGAAAAATCTTTTAAGACTGATAGTTACTTTGTTTGTTTTTTTTCAAATTATGACTGTTATTATTTTCCAGAAGAATTCTGGTGACTTAGATATTTTGACTAGTTCCAAACCATGTAAGGCAGCTGATATTGACATTATTTCTGTCACCCTCTGTTTATTTGTGTAGCACCTCTAATAAAAGGTCATTAGAAAAGTGCCAGGGATGAGTGGGTGATCTTATCTGCATTTGAAATGAGGCTTTTCAACAAGTTTGGATGCCGTGAATAGTTAAGAACCCAGGGCAACTCCTTGTGTGTTTGCTTGGTGGCCAGTGTGGTGTCCGCCCTTTTGAGCAGTTGCATTGTCTAGTGGTATTTGAATGCTTCATTGCAACCCAATAGAAACTGCTGTAACAAGTCTCCCTTTAAGTCTGGGATGTTTGGGATCTATTGCCTTGCTTGTTTATGGAAGGATCAGGTTAAACTGTTCAAGAAAACTTGCAAATAGTTTGAGTTTGTTTAGAGTGGACACATTGTGACAGTTGTAACAATTCTCAGACTGACCTAAGGAATGAGAAGAAGAAAAAAAAGGACGATGCATTTGGCTTTTACTTTGCATTATCTTTTAATCAAAGGAGTTTTATCTGTTTTACCCACTAAATTGGATTTTCTTAACTAGTAGATAATTCTCTTGAAATAAAAATCGTAAATTGTGCTATTCAAGCTATGAAATACTTTATAGGGCTTTTAATCTGTGAAACTAACTTAGAAGGTCAAATTGCAGGATGACTTTATAGAAACGTTTTATAGTTTTTGTAAATTATATATCTAAAATTATTTCAGAATAAAAAATCTAAAGTTAAATTCAGCTTTTCTGCAAGCCCAGTTTGTAGAAGTATTTCTACAATTGTTATCACATGGTGATTGCTTGTTCTGGATTCTTGCATCATCTCTCAAAACAGCCTTGCAGGTGTTGGCAGATTTCTTTTAGAAAAGGAGAAGCTAAGGGCTTTGGACATTTATCCAAGACTCTCTAAGCAAGTGATTCTTCCACTGTACTTAAATCTTCCCCTCATCTCCCACTCATCCCTTTCTCCCTAATAACAGAAGAGAAAAAACCTGGTTATCTGAATGGCACTTCCTTTTCATCACAGATATTAAATATAAGGCCTTACTAAAGGCACAAAGGATTATATTTTACTAGAAAAACTAAGTAAACAAAGAGATCAGCTAAAGCTAAAGCTAAGTGCTGTGGAAAGGACCGAGAACGTGGAGACTGATGGGGAAGGCAGGCTGTTGGAGTTCCTCAGAAGTGCCTTTGAGCAGGGCCTATGGAGTGAGCTGTGCAAAAACTGGGTGAAGAGTATCTTAGACAGGAGGGACTGGGGACAGAACAGGCTTAGTTCATTTGAGAAAATGCTTCGGCAATTAATAAAAATAATAATCAAGAACAGAATAGTGATGAGAAGGGAAAGTTAGGTACGTGTCATGTCTGATAGAGCTCAGTAGACCAAAAGAAAAGGGGGCTTAGATGTAATTCTAATGATGAAACTCAGAGTGATTGAAAGTTGAGAGTCCGGAAAACTACCTTCCTCATTAGTTCCCTAGCCACCCAGCCCTTCCGTATCCATGTTTCTCTTCACTTCCCCTGCAGTCGAAGCCAGATATGGGAAGCTGGAACCATTGGCTCGCTGCTCTTTTTTCCCCTTGTACATTTTTCAGTTGTTTTAAATTTGGTTGATTACATCCAAACCTGAGATACGTTTTTATTTCAAATGCTGTTCCTATTTAACCGAAGTACCACCAGTGGTAGAACTGCGGCCTGTGAACACGGCATCCCAGAGCAGGTGGTCATGAGCACATTCCTTTATAGTCTTGTGCCTTCCTGGGTTGGGCCTCTCAGGACCATTTTCTGCATCTACCTCACCTCCCCCAGGTATCCTGGCTGCATTTGAATGACTGAAAAAGTTCATTCGGTGACAGTTAATGCTTAGTCAACATCTTGATTTTTGTATTGTCATAATAAACATATTGATGTCCTGATGCTGAACCATGTGAAAGAATAAATATATAAAGCAAATACGTTTTTATGGGTATCCTGCAGGTTTAAGAACTGGTGTTTAGAGGACTATCAGAGTTGGAACCTTCCCAGTTATTCTATTGCAGCACATGTTGACCCTTGATGTTAACAGGACAGTGTCTTAAAACAGTTTCCTGTTATCAGAGTAGCACTGCTGCCCAATGAAAATAAGTCTGAGCGAATCCTACACTTTATTTAGAGAATTTTTTCCAAATATGCCTGTGTGCTTGCTTATGAAATATATTGCACATTCTAATGTTTCCCTGTATTAAATGTGTCGCACTTATTTTAATACTTTAATTGTCAATACTAATTGATTCACATTTCTTTCCCAAAATAGGGCATCACATTTGATGAGTTCAGGTCATTTTTCCAATTTCTGAACAACTTAGAAGACTTTGCAATAGCCCTCAATATGTATAACTTTGCAAGCCGTTCCATAGGACAAGGTAAGAAATCATTCTTCAAAATTTTAAAGTCAAAATGCCCCTACCTCATTCCCAGAGACTTTGGAAGAGGCTAGTGAGATATGTCTGGTCATGCATCAGCTTACCTGAAAGTCTGGCTTCATAATTTCTGTGGGAAATCAGTTCTGAAACTTAAAAGTATGTAAAGTCTAGGGGAATGTGCTGATTTCTTACTGGGTTTATTTTTGGCCTTTAATTTTATATTATGAGGAAGAACTAATAAAGTTTATTGTAAAAGGTCTAAGAAGAAACCTTGAGGCTACTTGGTAACATCAGGGAACACATGGCAGCCTGCACAAATTCTCACTGATCTTTGCCTAATCAGAAACCAAAAATACATGAGCAGAGCCACTTAGCCATTAAATTATTTTAACTGGTTTTTGAGACTGATATATAAAATTGATTATCTTTTTTTAACTTACAAAGAAATACATCTGTCATATAACTTCAAATACTGATGTCTTCAGGACTCCCTCATTCTTTGCTCATGGGTTGACTAAAAGGACAAATCTTTTTACTAGGATCCTCTCCCTTATAACCATGTCCTCTTGCTGTGTGGTGTGGTTGTGTCTTTAAAGAAATTTTACCGACCTCTACCAGAATCTAATATGTTAGATCTCAAATTATAGTTTTGAATTTCTTATTCTCAAATCTAGGAAAAAGTCACACTACACTCTTCCCCAAATGATGACAGTTACTTCTCTCTAAGGCATAGAAGGTGTAGGAGCATTAAACTGTGAGGGGCTGAATTCAGACTGCCAGCTTCGGAACCACTCAGCACCCACGTTACGTCTGTTATACAGCCTCATTTTATTCATTGAATAAGACAAACCTGAACAATTTTTTATATTTCATTCTTTCTCTAACCTATATGCTTAGACGTTGGAAGGCATGTCTCCACAAATGATATATATTATCGCAAATAATATACATGTCTCCACAAATGATACTTATATAAATATTTATATCACAAACAATAGAAATATATCATGTACTTAAAATGTAATATATCTTACTGGAATAATATATCCTTTAAAAAGAAATTAGTATCTGTTTATTTGGCTCAGAGCAGAGAGCTGCTTTCTTATTTTGTGGGACTATAAAACAGGAAGAATTTTATAGTGTCACTTCTTCGAATGTTCGGGTTAATACCTTTCTCCTTTGCTGCTGTCAGCACACCAACTCAGGCCATTGCTTCCTAAAGGGATTTGCAGAGGCCACCTAAGTGGCGCTCCTTCCACGAGCTATTCCTGAAACATGTGGAAGACTCCACTAAAACAAAATTCACCTTTCTTTCTATAACTGCTGTGGCAAACTGTTCAAGTTCCCCCAGTGCCTGCTGGAGAGTGTGCAGGTTCCTGACCTCCCTGCCAGACTGTCAGCACTCTGGTCTCCTCTCCCTCACCGCACACGCTCCTTCAGATCCTCCCACCTGTCCTTTCTCTCCTGTCCGCAGCTGAAACCATCCGTCCTGTGGGGCTTAGCTCCATACATCTCACAGCCTTTTGAAATCATTGCCTGTGCTTTTCTTCCCTCTTCCCTTGCCCACATTGTAGACAGAATTAATCACTCATCTCCAAATTCTCAGCACTTTCTGGAAAGTTTTGTGAGATCTTGTATAATAGTTACATCTGAGAATCTTGTCTTGCATCTGAACCTTTTCTTGGAAATTTATCTTACTAACTGCTCAAGAGTCTCTTGCTGACAGTAGCTGTTGAATCAGCTTTCATTGATTGAGTGTATTATTAACCCAATAGAGTCTCCGCTTGCTCTTTTCACTAAAACCACAGTGTCTTCTTCTCCCCTAAGTGACAGTGCAGTCGTGTGTTATTTTCCATCCTGGCTCGCTCATGTTTAGCAAAAAAAAAAAAAAAAAAAAAAAAAAAAAACCCTTTTACAGCCTTTGCAATAATTAGCATTATGTACTAAAAAAGATACCTTTTCCTGCCTTTTCATTTTTTGTGATATTTACCTAGATGAATTTAAACGTGCCGTCTACGTAGCTACTGGACTTAAACTTTCACCACATTTGGTAAATACCATCTTCAAAATTTTTGATGTTGACAAAGATGACCAATTAAGTTATAAAGAATTTATTGGAATTATGAAAGACAGACTCCATAGAGGATTCCGGGTAAGTCTGAAGATTTCAAGTCTATTGATAATCCTTTTTAAATCTAAGTTCAAAAAGAATTTATGTGAGAGTTTAAGGTTATAAGCATGAAATGATTTTTTTTTTTTGAAAACTAAGATTACCTTACCTACATTCAAAAACAATGCAAGGTGATAAAAGATAATCTAAAAAAGTAAATATATATAATAAATTTTCATTTTTGTTTGTTTTGGTTTTTTGAAACAGGGTTTCTCTATGATTTTAAAACCTGTCTTGGAACTAGTTCTTGTAGACCAGGCTGGCCTCGAACTCACAGAGATCCCCTGCCTCTGCCTCCCAAGTGCTGGGATTAAAGGCATGTCCCACCACTACCCGTTTAATTCATTTTTATATTCAATTAGGGGAATGTCTTTACTTCTGTTTTGGGGAAAGGGTATTGCCATTTGTTGTTGTTTTTAATGTAATCTTGTCATTGGCCTTCAGACTTGGTAGTAAACAAGGAAACATCACTATTCCTTGTTGCACATTAAATGTTTCCTTTAGGAAACTGAGGCTCTTAAGCCACTGCAGATACATTCCTATGTATAAAATAAACTGAAAATAATTTTTCATTACTATTTTTCCTTTGACATACTAAAAAGTTACAGGAGATCATCTTTCCTTTTCTAAAAATTGCTTTTTAAAATCTCAGCTCTAGTGTGGTTTAATAAATGTTCATATTGCTAACGTGCTTAATGGACACTCCAGGAGAGGGGAGAAAAATCCTTTTCAGTTGACAGCTGCTGCAGTCAGGGACAAACATTTGAAGTATAACATTGTAATTCAAAGATTTGCTAATGACTTTCCAGAAGCCCAGGCTGTCTTGGAAAAGATGCTGCTGTGCTTCAGTGCCACCTAGTGGTAGCTTGTTAACATTTCCCTTGACTCTGCAGACACTTGTAAGGATGTACATAGAAATCTGTTTATTTCTCCTCAAAAATAACAAGGTTTAATTTGATATGAACTACACTGAAGCCTCTAAGTTCCCCTCTAAGTTCCATGAGTCTCATTTCTGTTCACTATTCTATGTGTGCCTAAGTTCCCATCGTGTTTTACTAATGTTTGCACACTTGTTGCATGAATACATTGTGGATTAATTATCTTAATCTAGTTGATATAATCTTGTGCTTCTTTGTAGTTTGAGGCATTTAAATCTATTATAAAGCAGTTTTGAAATACACGTGATTATTAGCTGTGATCACCGTTTTATGCAATTGATCTTGAAAATGCATTCCTCCTGTGTGACTGGAATTTGTACCTATGGTTCACTTCCTGTGTCTGCAAACCCTCCCAGCCTCTGGAAACCAGCATCCTGCTCTGTGTCCATAAATTTGGCTGTTAGATTTAGATTCAACATAGGAATTAAATTATACTGGATCTCTCTCACATTCATTTGGACATTTGTAATCTTCTATTCCACAGGGCTATAAAACAGTCCAGAAATATCCAACCTTCAAATCCTGCCTGAAAAAAGAACTTCATAGCAGATAAGTATGTTAACTTATGTTTATTCTACTTTTCCCAGGAATAATTAAGAATAGATATTTTATAACATCTAAGCAATAGCTGGGAAGGGATTAGGGCTAGAGTTCAGTGGTAGAGCACATGTTAAATTCCATGTTGCACAAGAGAAGAAAATAGCTGAAAGAAATATAATGATCACCTACAATTTGGTAAAGACAATGAGAGGCGTGGTTTAAAAAGGAAGTTGCTTTGTGTCTTTATATTTCATGGGACTGTGACAAAATGCTTCAACAAAAGCAGTTTAAGGAGAAAGGGCTTACTCTGGCTCTTAATCTGAGGGGACTCACTCCATCCTGGCAGAAAGCCGCTGGTCACACCTCATCCACCATCAGAGAGCAGAGAGCAGTGCTTCCTGCCCTCCCCACTTACACAGTTCAAAATCCCAGTCAGCACACTGCGCCCACACAACTCCTCACACGTCTCCCAAGAGATTCTGTCAAATCGTCAGCACTAACCAACCGTCAGTGAGCTGAGAAATGTCAGAGAAATGGCCACATTGCCATGATCCTTTATCAGCTTTCCCTGTGTTACTGTTGGTTTTTGTCTTTCTACAAAGAAACTGCAGTGATGGGTGTTCTGTGAGGTAGTTTGGAGGCCTAACTGTATACTATCTAGTATATGGAATCCAGTTTGGGAAGCAGTGATTCAAGAGACAAACAGGCTTATTTATCTGTTAAGGTAGCTGCTGTGATTTAGCTGCCCAGGGTCTTCCATACTTCTGTTTAAGGAACTGTGCATTGCCTTCCGAAACAAGAACAGCATTTAGTGCCATTGCGTTTATATATCCCTGTATGTAGTGTCCCCATCCTACTTGTGGTAGCATCCCACAGATCCTACTTGTAACGTGTTAGTACACAGAACCATAGTGCAAACTGGTTACCCAGATCCTGTTCCTTTCTGAAACCGGGTACTAAAGAAGCTTCTTAACAAAACATGAACTTGTCTTAGTGGATAAGTGCACTTGGCCCGACGCCAGCCGACTTGACCCCACTTGATGGCAGGTAATAATAGACTCCCATGTGCACACCATGGCACATTCATGCGCTGCCTTCATGCACACAGATTAGTACACAAATAAATACAATTTTAAAAAGCTTTTTAAATGTTTAAAGTGTTTTAAATACTTGATTCTTATATTTCATATGGACAGTTTTTAATTAGTTTTAATGTCTGCTTCATATAATTTTTGTAAAAACTTTTATTATTGTCATTGCCTTGAATTACATAAATATTGCTTTGGCATTTTATTTTGTTTTGTTTTGTTTTTAACTAGATCCTCTTAAAACAAAGTTTGAAGGATTATGATTTATGAGCAAAGCAAGCAGCAAGTTTCTGAGCATGGATCCAAGTGTGAAGTCAGAGCATGCAGAAAATAAAGGGAAAGGTGAAATATTATGAAATTATATTTTTTCCTGGAACTGAGTTTGTCAACATAAAGCAGAGGAAGATTGAACCTTCTAGTTGTGAACAGTAGCCCTGGGTTTGACCCCTAGTACTACCAAGAGAAAACTTCCTGCAGATGCTAAATGTAGTCAGTTGACCGTGCACCTCGATTGACCGAAGTCTGAACTTTTTCATTCCCTTCACAATTGTTTAGATTGTTTATTTATTAGAAATGCCCTTTATTTCCAAATAATTTATGAATGATAGACTATAGATGGCTTAAAAACCAAAACACATTTCCTTCTGGTTTGAGCTGTGAACCTGTTTTCAGACGAGGAATATTGCTTCTGATTTGTCTTAGGGCCTTTAGACACGTTTATAAGTACCTGTTATTTACCTTGTATTTAATCACACTGAAGTAATTTCAGAAAACAAGTGAAAATTTACTAAATATGATGGTTTACATTGTACTTTCAACTTTTAAAAGTACTTATGTAATATACATTGTTGGATTTGTGTAAATTTTTGTTTGTTTTTGCTGTTCTTTGTGTGTTTTGTTTTGTTTTTGTACAAAGGTCAACAGGATTTCAGGTATTTTATTTAAAAAGCAATTTAGCTTTTTTTTTTTTTTTTTTAAAGAAAACCTAGTGGTCACATGCTGATGTTAGGAGTCGGCACAGTGGTGGTGGTAATTACCACAGGGGAAACATGCTCCTTATTGCAAGTACAATATATGGAAATAATGTTAGTAATATATTTAATATTGTAATGTATGTCTATAGCATCAAAGCTAATAATATAAATGGTTTAGAAGATTGATGGATATTTACAGGTAGAAGATAATCTTTTGTTTCTTGCAAAAGGACCAGATGCAAAATTGATCCAAACAGCCATTAGTGATGAATTCTATAATTCATTACGTCAGAACAATATGTCTTAAAAGGAAAAATAGAGCTTTCTATTGAAAACCCCCACTTAAGAGACTGACCAGGAGGGTTGCAGCTTAAGGCCTACCTGGGCTGTAATACAAGCTTGAGGCCCTTGGGCTGCTTAGAACCCTGCCAGAATAAAGATGCTGGGGAAATAAGTCGCTCAGGAGCAGAGTGCTCGCCTGCCGTGTGTGGGGCTTCGGGCTTAAGTCCCAACACTGCAAGTAAAAAGAGAAGAAGAAAAAGAATGAAAAAGCGGGAAAGAGGAAAACGAAATCCTAGATTTTCACATTGAAAAAGAATTGTAGAATACTTAATATAACTTTGGCTACCTGATAAAATTGGTTTATACAAGGGTATTATAAAATAAAGAAACAAGTTTAAGTTAATATATTTATATATTGCATGTATTATGTGTTATTAATCTAATATCTAAAATATTAATAGATTCATTCATCTTCTTCCATAAGACATATTTAGTATAAATTGCATACACTCCAACCATTTCTTGGCTTTTGCATATGAAAATAGGAAACACTGGCTTTATTTTTCTAAGTTATTGAATGTGAAATTGATCTACATCAGTTTATTTATTAAAAAGTAATGTTATTTTGGTGTTATTAGTATTGATTTTGTGTTTTTTAGACTTTTCCACATTCTTAGTCTGGTATTATTTATTGCACCAATATAGAAATATAAATGGGCATATATAGTATAGTATACTTATTTAATTACACCTGCTTTGAAATTGTAGTCATTCAATGTCTAGACAGAGATGCCTACCTACTCATATTATCATGCCTCACACCTGGAATGTTCTTGGTAATACATGAATGTAAAATAATTGAAAACATACAAATTATAAGTTATATTATCATACATAAATAGAAACCTTGTTACTATGGCTTAAAAATTAAATAACCTATTTTAAAATCCTTTATAAGTCTTGTCATTGTTCCAAGGAAATAACACCCACAATATAAGCACAGTCACTATTCTTTATTGCTTTATTGTGAATTGGTCTATTTATAAGGTGTCAGGATAATATAAAAATGAAAATAAATAAAATATTCTGATTAATATAAGAGAATTACAATTATCCTCTATGTGTCACTTTTAAACATTTTTTGTCTATAAAATGGAAATAGAAATATCTCCCTGGGATGTTGGTTTCCTCAATTGAAATATAGTGAATGTTTTTCAAATAATATACTAAATGCACATACATTAGCTTCAAAATTTCCCTCTCCAAATTATAAAAATTTCACAAACATTAAACTCTACATAAAATTTTAGTGTTATGCTAAGAAAGTATACATGATAAATGATACTAGGTACTTCTCAGAATAGTTTATAATAAATTGTTTTAGCTTAAAGTCTGAGTTTTACTATAAATCTTAATTGTAAAGCTACATGTCTTACATTGTTATATTATCTTAAAATAAATGTACCTCCTTTGAACCAAAAAACATTGTAGTTTGCTGTTGTGTATACCAGTGAGTTAATTTCTTCCTGGAAACATCGCTTTTTAGGGTTACCACTGTTCTTAAGCCCACTCGTATAGCATTACATGCTGTCAAACTGAACTCATAACACCTCTGTTCATAAGTAAACTGCAGAGCCTTGAGCCTTCTCAGAGTATTTCAGAGAGAACTATGATTGTTAGTATTAGAAAAAATGTTCATGAAGTTTACATGGGACTTAACGAGTGTCTATCTTGTTTCAAAGAACTAATCATTTAAATGGCTTAAAATAAAGCCAAAATTACATTAGTCCATGTTGCTAGTGTTACTATTTTACAGGAGTTATCTTACTAAGAGAACACCTAGAAATCACATTTTAAAAGTTTATTAGTGATCTTTCTTTCCTGTTTTACTTTGGTTTGGTTTTAGTTTAATTGAACAGTCTCACTTGGTACCCAAGGATGGTGTCTTTGTTAGGGTTTCTATTGCTGTAAAGAGACACCATGACCACACCAACTCTTATAAAGGAAAATTATTTAATTGGAGTGGCTTACATTTTCAGAGGTTTAGTCCACTATCATCAGTACGTAGTGGCATGCGGGCAGATATGGTGCTGGCAAAGTAGCAGAGTGTTCTACACCTTGACTTGAAGACAACATGAAGTGATCTGTCTCACTGGGCATGGCTTGAGCATATATGAGTCCTCATCACCCACCTCCATAATGACACACTTCCTCCAGCAAGACCACATATACTCCAGCAAGGCCACACCTCCTAATAGTGCCACTCCCTTTGACATAGTGCTGGCTGCAACTTGATCAAAAGGCAATAAGAAGTGATCTGTCTCACTGGGCCTGGCCTGAGCATTCCTCCAATAAGACCACACCTACTCCAACAAGGCCACACCTCCTAGTAGTATCTCTCCCTTTGGGGACCATTTTCTTTCAGATCACCACAGATGGATTCACATTCCCTGACTCAAGCAGTTCTCTGACCTCAGCCTCCCAAGTTCTTGACATTAGGTGTGTGTCGCCACACCTGATCCCACTTCTGCTATCAGTAAGTAAACAGTTTTTTGAAGTGCAGCGCTTGTGTTCCCAAAGAATGTGAAGCTATGAATTGTGTACTATTCAGTAGATAAAATAAAAATCATAAGTAATAAGAGTATATTTTCTTTTTCTTTTATGGACAGCAGTTTTACTTTCTTAGTAGCTTATAAAATAATGGCTTATTCTCCCATGTTATATTCTGTGAAATATCATCTTTGTAATCAATTGTCTTTATGTTATAATAAATATTTTGACATCTTAAAATAAGAATATACCTATAATTGTAAGATTATGTATGTAAGTATGCAATGCATGTAGGACATAAAAAAAAGCTTACTATGAAATTCATCTTGCAAAGATAATTTCCACTTTGTGAAAGACAAGAGGGACACATACTAATGAGAAATGGGGTACCTGGAAAAGGGACCTGAATAGGAAAAAGATTTTTTTAAAAAATTGGGACTAAAAGGAAAAATCATTTTAAGCACGTGCACGTAAAGGTAAAATATGATATGTGTTTTCACATGAGTTTCAGATGGCAAAGATGGTTTTGTAGAATGTGGTGCTCATGAGTATGTGGGGCAGTTTGGTGCCTTTTTCCAGCGGTGCTGAAGTTTTCTAAAGGAAACAAAATTGTTACCCCAAACTTTACCTCTGGACCACAGTGTCCCAATGGATACACTTACAGTTTATAATTTTCTGTGTCCACAAGTCTGTGGTCCCATTGACGTGCATATCACAGAACAATAGGAAGTTCATTTATGGCGTGGACATGACATGATCTGCAAGATGTGTGCTATGCTTCTGTCGTGCTCAGCACATGTTCTCATGACACAGCCTGTGTTGCAGTTGTATTCAATATGTCAGCCTGTGGGTCACGACCCTTGGGGGTTGAATGACCCTTTCACAGGGGTCACCTACGACCATCTGAAAACACAGATTTTTACATTACGATTCCTGATAGCAGCAAAGTTGCAGTTATGAAGTAGCAACGAAAATAATTTTATGGTCAGGGGTCACTACGACATGAAGAACTGTATTAAGAGGTCACAGCGTTAGGAAGGTTGAGGACCACTGGATTATAGGTATATATTTTAAAAGCCAAAGAGCTATAGTCCCATTCTTAGTCAAAATTAGTAACTATCTCCATTTCAGTTTACTAAAACTTTTATGTCCCTCATTTACCTATCACTAAGTCATTTAAGATTGAGCTCTAAAGCTGTGTGTACTGCTAATGAATTTGAGCACTCTGGTAACGTGTAAGCCTTCATTATTCTGGACGTCCCTGCGGACAGGTTCCGTCTCACTGGCCCACCTGGAGGGCGAGCCACTCACCTGGTGCCAGAGCTGTTGCTCTGGGACCTCCATCTCCAGGCCGTGCTCTGCTTTCTTTCTCTGTCGTGGAAAGTGTCCCATCCTCCCTGAGGAACGTCGCATCGTGAGGGAAGTTTTGTAGTTGCATTCCTTGAAAACACCTTTATTCCAGCTTCAAGTTTGGGCATCGTCTATCCAGAGATACCCAGTCTAGAATGGCGTACCTCATCTCTCCCTCCGAACTGTAAAAGTATTGCCCCATTGGGTTCCGGCATTCAGTGTTATTCTCAAGATGCCTGTCCTGTTTTCCTTCCCCGTTGGAAACTACAATCTTTGCTGATCCTGCTTCGTGTAGGCTCTCCTTGCTTTATCCGCTGTCAGTGCTGGGCACAGCAGTTTCATCTGTGAACTCACAGCACCAGCTTTGAACGGGATTTTCTGAAGTATTTTGAGAATGTCCTCTCCTCTCATCTTCTCTGCCTGTTTTTTCCTAAAATACCTGTTATTCAGACACCACACCTTCTGTCCTCACCCTGTCATCTTCTCTTCCCTACTAACTGTCTGTCTCCTTGTGATACCTTGTTGTCTTTATCCATGCTTTAATTCTACCATTTAAGATCTAAATTTTTTTGTCTTCTGTCTTTGTTTCATATAGTACATTACTTATTTCTAATTGTCTAATTTTAATTTCTTTGACTTTTTCTCCTACTTTTGTTGCCTCTTTTTTGTGCATTTGTGTGTTAGGCCTCTCATATTACAGGTTTTTGTTCGGTATCTAATAGATCTTTGCTGTATGCTTGTATTTTACAACACATTGGAATCTGTGAGGTTTTAATGGATGGGTTTGCCTTTCTGTTCTTCTGGCCAGCCTGCATGCC